GTTATTAGATAAGGAATAAGAAGTAAAAACAATAAAAATAAATATACGTAATTTATTTATCTTTTATTTATACTCTTATTCTTTATTATGGTTTATAGTAATAAGTATAAAGGGGATTAGCTATAATAATTCCTCCTAGTTTTTCTTAAGTAAGAAATCGTAAGCCGATAGCTTTTAAATATTTAATGTTATTATTATAATAATAAATAAATTAATGGCTTCGTATAACTACTTATCCGGATACGTTAGGCTAATCGCCGTCGTTTCGGTCCTTTCTTTATTCATAAGCTTTATTATTACCTTACTTAACGATATTAAAAGCTTAGTTATATTACCCGATCGCCTATAATTTTTAATGTCGTAGATTTTTACCTCGCCTACGAAACTTATAAGAAGGTTCGTATACGATAGCTTTTTATAAACTAAGCTATAGCTAAGGAGAAATTCAAAACCCGTAAGAACCTTACGGAATATTAGCCGGGATTAGGTCTATATAAGCGCTAAAATATCTACCTAATATAGAATAAAACCGAGCTAAGGTTTTATCGGGTAAATAAAAGACCGGTAAAAGTATAGAAGAGATATAAGTATAAATTCCGAAATTAGGAAGTAGCTTATATCCGGGTATACGTATATCTCGATATTCTTAACTAGGTTAGAGTAATAAAATTAACGGATATTCTGGATATATTTCTTCGCGTTACGTCCGGAAATGGTACGGATTATAAAGCTTAGGTTCGCTATATTACGAGAAGTAATAACCCCGAATAAATAGTTATATCTTATACGATACCTTCTTTCGTAATAACTTTACGGCGATTCCTTTAATACGGAAATAAGAGTAACGTTATTATTACGGTTCGTATGTTTAACGGAAAATCGGCGATAAGTCGACGCCGGTTTAGCTTCGGTAAAACCCTTATTCTTATAAGCGTCTTAATTAATTATGCGTTATTACCGGGGCGTTTTACGATAAGGTAACGTAAGCTTGGGAACGTTTAACTTTAGCTTATTATCCGATTAAGCGTTATCGAGGAAGAAAGTATACCGGTTAATAGTCGATATTTCGGATTAAGAATAAACGATAATAATTATATAAATACCTAACTCGAGTCGAGGTATAGTTTTATATTAGTACTTCTTTTTTAACGGAATAGAAAGAAATAAAGATAAGTATAAAAATAAACCGTAGTTAAAAGTAGCCGCTTTTAGCCTATGTTTAGTTTCGGAACCGTAGGACTATCCGCGATTTACGCTTCTCGTAAGAAACTAAAGGAAATTATATAGCTCCTAGTAAAAAGGCTCCCGTAGGGTATACGAAATTTAGGATACGTAACTCGTAATGGTATATTTTAATCTAAAGGCTCGGTTATAGTAGCTAAACGCCGAAATATCGTTAAAATTCCGAGGAACTATTAAGATCTCCTTAGATTATTTCCTCTTCGATTTAAAGGGGGAATCGAACATTAAAAAAACTAACCGCCTTATCGAGATCTTTAAGCGAAAAGGATACGATCGTTTAAATAATAACTATATTATTCCCGGAAATATTACTATCGACTTACTTTCCGTATTACTATAGTAATTTAACTTAAGCCCGGTTAATTTATATAGCCCCGAATTACTTATCCTTTATCTTCCTACGGGTACGTATGTTAGTTATTTTTATAGGAAGTATCGCGTAAAAGCGCTTCGGCGATCGAAAAGCTTATTACCTTAATAAATAGTTAAGCTATACGTAGGTAGGTTATACTATCCCGGACTAGAAGCTAAGTCGGTATTAATTCCCCTTTAAGACCTTTCGCTAAAGGCTATCCGGTTTTTAGCCGAGGATTTCGTAAATAAAGGATAGTTTTCCGACGGATATATAGTTATAAAGATTTATAATTACCTTTTAAATTCGATCGACGGGAATAAATGGTAAACGAGGTTAAGTAAAAGTAAACCCGAAATATTAAGGAAATTACTTAAGTACGAATAACTTAAACCTACTCTCGGGTATATATTAGAAATCCCGGGCTTACGTTCTAAGCTTTAGTTAGTTATTTAAAAGAAGATTATAACTAAAAACGTAATAAAGGTACGTCTTATTTTAAAGCTATCTAAAGACGCCTTTTCCTTAAGGATATAAACGTTCGGCTATTAACTCGCGACTTCCTAAGAAGTTATCCATTATTTTAAACGTATATACGATATATAGTACTATATAATAGGGTCTAAAGTTACGCTCGAATTTATAAACGACGATATAGTTCGGGAACTCGAACTCCGCGCCCTAGGTATATCGTATTATAACGATCGTTATATATCTAATGTAGTACGGACGAATATAATATTTTAAGGCGTTATAAATAAGCGCGATAAGGAAAGCATTTTATAAAGAGCTTTATAAATCGACTATTTAATCCTAATACTTTATATATTATAATAAGATTTTAAATACCTACGATAATATACTAGTATTATAAGGTAGTTAATCTTAAGGAAGAACCGACTCCTTATTACGGTTTAAACGATAATTTCTAACGCATATAAAGCCGACGCGAGATTAAGTTATACGACTAACTTTTTAAAGAGTATAAAGTCCCTTTACCTTATTATTATATAAGACCTCGTAAAGCTCTCGGGTAAAAACCCTTTAAAAGAAGATAATAAAGAGGACCTAAAAATCCGTTTATATAATTAAAAAGCCTAGTATTAATTAATACGCCGAGCCTAAGAGTTAGGGTTTAACTTTAACGAAATCTCTCGTCTCTTTCGCTTAAACCCGGACCGAGAAATAACTAAGAAAACGTTAATAAATGCTCGACCGCTATAATACTTCGATTATAAATAGAACTTAAACGCTTTTATAGCTATTATGGTTCGATATTTTAATAAAGCGCGGCCTATTATATCTAAAGGCGCCTATTTAATACTTACTACTTCGTATCCGGGAGAGTTAATTAAAAAACGATATAATCGTTAATATTCGAAAGCTTATTCTAACGACCGGTTATATATTATATAGGATAACTTTATTAAATGTATATAAAAAAATGTCGATATTTCTTCCTTATTTATCCGGAGGTCCGTTTTTTAAGCGTTTTAAGGCTTACGTAATAAGTAGGATACCGATTAATACGACGTTTACGGCCGGAGCGATAATATATAAAATTAGTAAATCTTAGATATAAATAAAGACTTTAATCGGAATATTAATACGTAAAACGAGAATATAGGTATAAGTAAGGAAGATTAAGATCTAGGAGACTTTAATTACGCGGGCGGGATTTCCGCGCTAGTTCCTCGTTAAAACTACGAAATAAGAGATTAACTAATACCTCGGTAGCGAAACCTAACGTTTAAAGTCTAACGCTAACGAGATAAGAAAGAAAAGACTAAGGCTATTTCTTAAATAACGTTAGCGATAAATAAAAGCTCGGCCTTAATTACTTTTATTTCGGATCCCCCTCGGCTTAAGCTAAACGATAATAGCTAGCTAAACCCGGTATAAGATAATCGAACGATAAAAATTCTTATCCAAAAAAACGGAAATTAGGATAGATTTCGGGACTACCGGCGTTCTTTTATTATCGAAGGCTTAAGGGAGATATAGCGTAATAATTCAGGCCCGGGAGAAGTATGGTTTTTATTTACTAAAGATAGTCGAGGTATTACTTTAAAGGATTACCTTAACTACGAGGATAATATCGTATATTTAAATACCGATATAAGTAGTTTTCTAGTAAAGGAAACGTTATAGATAATATAATAATAATTATCGGCTTCTATTTAATAGCGTCCTAATCTAGTAATCCTATATTATAATAAATTATAAGAAAGCTATAACTAAGATAATAAGTAGTCTTTAAGTCTATCGTAGCGATTAGTACTTATACGGGAAGGATTATTCGTATATAGTTTTCTAGAGTAGTTTAATATCTCGCATAACTTTTTACCTTACGTATTATAGTAGTACGGTAAGACATACCTTCTTAATATATTACGTAATACGTTACGATAGGCCTTATGCCTATATAGAATAACTATAGCTCCCGTAAATACGGACGATACTATAATTATTACCTAACTAGATTATTAACTTTACTATTTTTGCCTTAATTTAAGATTCGTTTTTATTATTAGATTCTTCGTCTTCCGATTAATATATTTATCTTAATAACGAGCGCTTAAGTTACTTCGTCGTACCGTAATAGCCGAATAAGTAACTTTTACGTTTAGCCCCTTTCCTTCCCTTACCTCTTTTACCTTCGGGCTAGCGACTACTATATCTTTATAACCAAAGGATATACCTAAGATACGATAACTATATTAGATTCCTCGTCTCTCGATTAGTAAAGTAATATTAATTTTATCTATCTTAAACCATCGTACGTATTATAGTTACCGATAAAGTATACTTTTAAGTAAGCTATCCGGGACTTTAATATCGCGTACGCTTTACTCCTTTTTAATATAAAAATTAATTAGTAGCTACTTTAGGTCTAAAGTATATAAAATTAAACCAAATGGTACGAATATAATAAGGCTTCGTACGTTACTTTATTTCGTTAACGGTTAAAGCTTAACCGTTTTAAGGACCGTTTCCTTCTATATAAATATTATATAAATGTAACTCCTTAGTTACTTAACTAATTATAGACTAAGCCGAGCCTAAGCAAAAGCGGCGATTACGCTAAGCCTAATTTGGTTACGGTATAGAATGTGGTATAACCTAGAACCTCTGCTCTGGGATCCACCCCCGCAGGAGGCAGCACCTAAACTAGTATAATGAGCGCCAAACCTGTTTCGAAACCGCGACGCCGCTGGCTCTTTCCGACGTCTACTGAGCTCAACATCGGCCTTCCACCACCACACCCAAACTTGCGACTCCACGTATTCATATCCGCCCGCGAAAGCCTATGCATTTTGATCCTGGCCAGTTCTAACCAGCGAACATATTACAAACCTCGGCCGATTATCCTGGCACTGGCCTCCTGCTACCATCTGCCGTCGCGATGGAGCCTCGAGCTCGTGCTGGTAAGAACGTCGGGAAGGAGACTTTCAATCCTAAAGAGGGTGCGTCCTCCTCCTCATATCTGCTGCTGGCTACTCATGTCATATCGTTGGCTCTGTAGCTACGCAACTAGCTACGGGTAGATAGCTAGTTGGCAAAAGTCACCTGCGTCTCACATTCTAATTGATCGCGTCGACAACTAGTTTCCGCCCTGCTGTATGCATATGGCGACGTGCAGCACCCGCTGCCAGAGACGGTCCGCGTGCTGGACGAGATGGTTACCGAGTTCCTGGAGGGCGTGTGCTTCGAGGCTAGCCGGCACGCCCAGGTAGCGGGCCGCCAGAAGCTCAAGTTCGACGATTTCGAGTTCGCCCTCCGCCGCAACCCGCAGTATCTCGGCAAGGTCAAGAGCATGATCGAGAAGCGCCAGAAAATTAAGGAGATGCGGCGAACTTTCGATCAGGAGGACGACGCCCTCGCTAAGGAGCACGGCATCGACACCTCCGCCCCCGGTCCCGCCGCCGGCACCGCCGAGGAGGATGACCTGCTCGGACTCGACGACGAGGACGAGGACCTCGAGGTTGCGCCCACCGTCACGTCCTCTAAGGGGACTGGCGGGAAGAAGAGGAAGGGTGCGCCGAAGTAGAAGAAGGATTGCCTGTGGATAGGTGGGAGGGTGGAGGCAGATGCTGCCCTCCAGCGCAGCACGGCGCGACGACGTATACACCGTCCTGCCATAGGCAGCGACAGCAGTAAGGAATATTCATGTTTCAGCATAGCCACGGAGTTTACGCTGGATAGGGGATACCAGGTTGCATTTCTGATCGCCGCGAATCAATACAGACCGGACGTCCCGGCTTCGCATAGGGCTAATATACGCACACCCACTATTCGGTATTTCGGGTGATTTTCTGCCAATTCATCGAGCTATCCGACCTAACGAGGCGCGCCCCCCCCCCCGATCCAGGTGAAACTTCTGCACCCGAAGCTGCCTCCCATTTTCCCTATCCATAGTTTCGCCACCATCCTTTTCATCGACGTCGATTGGAGCCCGGGGGGAGGCCTGGGATATTACACCCTCGGGAATAACCCATCGAGCACACTCCGTGGCGTAATATATGCCGGTAGCGGGGAGGATTGCGACCCTACCCAACCTTGCCCTCCACTAGAGACACGCAAACCCACGCAAACCCAACCATGTCTTCGTCCCTTAAGACCCCCCGGCGCGCTTCCGACCTTGGGAGGGGGGTCGCGCAGGGTAGCGCCGATTCGCCAGGCATTGCCGCGATATCGGGGGCGATAAGGGCTCCAGCGCCAAATAAAATGGAGAGACCTCGCCCAGCGGTAACAATGACACTCACGATGTTCCGATAGCCGCACGGGACCGGTATAGATCGGATGGATCCACGCCTACGCAACCTTGAGGTTGCTGCCCGCCATCCTATGTGTGCGATGTGCTCCCCATGATGCGCACATATTTCCCTAGTCCTTCTGCCTGCGACGGCACCGGTGTAGGCGGGAAGGTGGCGTATGTATTGGCTACCCGGATATGCCTACTAGGCATGCGGGCAGTGGTTGTTGCATTTGGTAAAGGGCGTTAGCCCCCGACAAGGGGAAGGCTACTATTAACCCCCGGCCCGCTCCCCCCCGCTTCGTCAGGGAACATTATTTTTTCAACAGATGCTCAGCCGAATTACGTGCGGTATCTCTTCTCCCTCATCATCGTTGGGGGTGGAATCAGAGACATACTATATGTCGCTGTTGCCACTTCTCCCCATACGGTCAATATTACCTTACTGGTTTGAAATTAGCTACGGGCACATTGTTGCGTGGGTCCTATCTCCCAGAATTCACAGAGGCCCATTGTCGATGGGTTACTTCTGAGCGCCGTCAAACGTGATCATGCCCTCCCCAGTCGCCGAAACCGCCCAGATCCCGAGTGCTAAAGCTGCCTCGGGTGACCGAGACGGGGAAACATACGATCTCGCTGATATCCCTCCTAAGGGCGATAGATTCGGGTCAGACACATCTACATTCGTCGAGGGTGATGCCGATCCAGCGAATCCGTATTCGGCCCCGGTGGCCGCTGGCAGCGTAAGGGGCAACCTGTCTTCTGGAAGACTACGCCACACGGGCATCCGAGCGTTCTGTAGATCGGCCTGGAAGAAGAACGAGGCGCCACTCCTGCTGTTGTTGGCCCAATTCTTTGGGGCGCTGATGAACCTCATCGCTCGCTTGCTCGAGGTGGGCGAGGGCGCGATACACCCTATGCGACTCCTCTTCGTACGCATGTCGATGACGGTGATCGGCGCTTCGTTGTACATATGGTGGCGGAGGATACCGCACGGGGTTCTGGGACACAAAGATGTCCGCTGGCTACTAGTTTTGAGGGGAGTGTGCGGCTTCTTCGGGATCTACGGGATGTGGTACTCGGCCAAGTATCTAACGCTTGCCGATGCTACCGTCATCACCTTCCTCGCCCCGAACATCGCCGGGTATATGTGCCATATACTTCTTCACGACTCCTTTACTCGGGTGGAGCAGCTTGCGTCGTTCGCGGCTTTGGGGGGTGTCGTGCTTATCACGCGGCCCGTGTCTCTCCTCTCGGGCAGTACATCCTCCTCCACATCCAGCATGGCCGTGGATGTGGTTCAAAATACAACAACCGCACTAGAAGAAGCCTCGCTACATGTTGGCTTCGAAGAGCATATCCCCACGAATTCGGAGCGGCTGGGTGCCGTGAGTTTCGCGCTCCTAGGAGTCTTAGGCGGCGCCGGGGCCATCACATCGCTGCGATGGATCGGGAAGCGGGCGTACCCGCTGATATCGGTCAACTATTTCAGTGCGTGGTGCGTGGTGGTGTCGACGACGACGCTCGCACTAGCTCCGGCGCTCGACTACGGGCAACCCGACCTGCGGGTAGACCTAGGTGGGATCACAGCGTGGCAGTGGCTCCTGCTCGTGCTGATTATGTCGTGCGGCCTGATCATGCAGGTGCTCACGGCGACCGGTCTGGCACGCGAGCGCAGCAACCGTGCTACGGCCATGATGTACACGCACATGCTATTCGCGGCGTTTTTCGACCGCTGGATATTTGGCCATACCATGGGTTGGATGAGCCTTACGGGCTGCGGGCTGATCATCGGAAGCGCGTTATGGGTGGCGCTGACGAAGGAGAACAAGGGGAAGGAAAGGAACCGTGACGACAGTGGGGAGGCGTGCAGTAGTGCAAGAGTTGCTGCTGCGCCTAGTGCTTCTGCCGATGCCGTCGCTATGGAGATCGAGAGTGCGCCGGTTCTTAGCGGCGACGAAGATACGAATAGAGGAGATGAGGAAGAGGAGAGCTGAAGACTGGAACAGCCCCGGGATTGGCCCCCATTCGCCCCATCTGTAGGTATATAGGGGGAGCTGACCGGGAGGCCGGGACAGATTAAGGCACGATTTCCGGGGTATTTAGGAGCGTAGAAGGACGATGTACGGGTTTATGTTAGAGGCGGCGGCGTTACATAGCATGAATAGGTATGACGATGAAACCATTGGATTCCCAAGAAGCTACCTACCTCGTAGCCCGGCTGTAAAATAGAGAGAAATTGAGACGTACAGTGTCAACATGGGTAACTGCACTGTCTCCTCATTCTCGCGGTACGTACCGACAGCAAGTCGCGACCCCGAAAAGTTTCGCGACTTAGGTGGTTACTCAGGCTTTTTTTAGAGCTCCAAAGTCCTCATAGCTTTCTCCCTCTGATAAGCTCACAATACATCCCATCCACACATACCTACGTCCTTTTCTGATGCCATATCCATCTTCGACGCCGCCACGGAATTCGATACGCGCCCGCCCGCGTCGCGTAAATTGGTAGAGATTGTCCACCAACCTCTGCCGCTTCTTCATCCATCGTAGCCGATTCGGAGCGTCGAAATCGCTGCTGAGACGCGGTCGTCGAATTCTTTCTACCCACCGCTTAGCGACGCGACCCATCCCTTCGCCACGATGGTGCAAATCAGCGAGGTCAAGGGCAACAACCGCGAAAATCGCACCGCTGCCCACACTCATATCAAAGGGCTCGGCCTCAAGTCCGATGGCACGGCTGAGAAGCAGGCCAGCGGCTTTGTAGGCCAACAGCAGGCCCGAGAGGTAAGCGGAGACCAAGCACTGCGCAGCCTAGATTAGCGGTGGATGGCTAACGGGATGTACGTGTTTTGCAACCTTCTCATTATAGGCCGCTGGTATCGTTGTCGACCTCATTCGCGCGCAGAAGATGGCCGGTCGGGGCGTATTGCTGGCTGGCGGACCTGGGACGGGGAAGACGGCGCTTGCGCTCGCGCTCAGCCACGAACTCGGCACAAAGATCCCCTTCTGCCCCATCGTCGGCAGCGAGATTTACTCCTCCGAGGTGAAGAAGACCGAGGTCCTTATGGAGAACTTCCGAAGAGCGATCGGACTGAAAGTGCGGGAGACGAAGGAGGTATACGAAGGCGAGGTGACAGAGCTCACGCCCGAGGAAGCCGAGAACCCGCTCGGCGGCTACGGCAAAACTATCAGCACCCTCCTGATAGGACTAAAGAGCGCGAGGGGCCAGAAGAAGCTGAGACTGGACCCGAGCATATATGAGGCTATCCAAAAAGAGAGAGTCACGGTTGGAGACGTCGTCTACATCGAGGCCAACACCGGCGCTTGTAAACGGGTCGGACGATCGGATGCTTATGCCACCGAGTTCGACCTCGAGGCAGAGGAGTACGTCCCTATCCCGAAGGGTGAGGTGCACAAGAAGAAGGAGATAGTGCAAGATGTCACGCTCCACGACTTAGACGTCGCCAACGCCAGACCACAAGGCGGTCAGGATATCATGAGCATGATGGGCCAGCTCATGAAGCCCAAGATGACGGAGATTACGGACAAGCTGCGAGATGAGATCAACAAGGTTGTTAGCAAGTATATCGACCAGGGCGTAGCTGAACTCGTCCCCGGCGTTCTGTTCATTGATGAAGTAAGTGAGCGAGAACAGCTCTAACCTTCCTTCAATTGGCGATGCCAGACTACTAAATTTTGTATCCCATAATAGGCGCACATGCTTGATATCGAGTGCTTTACCTATCTCAACCGAGCTCTCGAGTCGGCAATTTCGCCAATCGTGGTCCTCGCATCGAACCGAGGCATGTGTGCAATCCGCGGCACGGACGGCATCGTCGCCGCTCATGGGATCCCCCCGGATTTTCTGGCTCGGCTCCTTATCATTCCCACCACCTCTTATGACGCCGACGAGATCAAGAGGATTGTGCGCATCCGGGCAACGACGGAGGGTGTCCAGATCACCGACGCGGCCGTCGACAAGATATCGGAGCATGGCGTGCGCATCAGCCTCCGGTACTGCCTCCAGTTATTAACCCCGGCAAGGTAAATCTTTCACGCGATTCCCTCTGTTTTATGTGCGCAGACAATCCGGTTACTCACCAAAAGCAGCATTCTTGCTCGAGTCAACGGCCGCAGCCAGATCGATGTCAAAGACGTGGCCGAGTGCGAAGAGCTGTTCCTCGACGCACGGCGCAGCGCCGACTTATTAGGTGGTGAGACAGGACGTGGCTATATCTCATGAAGCATGGCCGTGTCTTAGAGAGACGGCCGGCGGGAACCCTTGAGACAACGAACGGGACTCGTTACGAACCCTCATCTCATTTCGCAAGCCTGCGGCTCCAAAGCCGCGCGGGCGCGGGCGCGCTGTTCTCTAACCAGAGTTAAAAGGGCATTGGGTAGGGAAAATTACCATCGCGGAGGGGTTTCGGAGTTCTCTTGAATGTGGGGTTTAAGTATGTAATGCCGGTTGCTCTTCAATAAACACAGCCAACCAAACCGCGCAGTTGGTTGGATGGGATGGCTTGCCAGTCGGTTGGTTGGTTTCGTACATCCGAATCACCGCACTAACAAACCCCCTCCCCAGCCAGAACAGAGATCAGACCGAAAACACGCATCGAAAGTAAGACATTGCAAAACAACTACTTTTTTATTTTCTTCGAGAAGAAACTGAAATTCTGGGCTTTGGCTGGGAATGAGAGAGTACATTATCTATGGGCACCACGTGACGAACGGTAACTAAACCAATTTCGGCTTGTTATTCATTGTCTTTGTTACTGGCATTGATGCATTGATGGCTGGCAACGGGGGGAAGAGAAAGGGTGGAGGGTTTTCTTATTGGGAGCAAAAGAGAAGACATGTGCGTATACATCCTCTCACCCCTCCCCCCTCTCATCTCTCTCTCTCTCTCTCTCTGTCTATCTCTCCGCATCTCTGTATTTCCATATCTATGCCTCTTTCCCTTCCTCTCTCTCTGCCTGTTCTAGTTAGGGGATGGTGTAGCATTCCTAGGGCCTACGTGGTGTATATGTATGCATGTATGTATGTGGGTTTACGCGTACATTCGTATGTATGAAGGTGTAGCCTTGAGTCTGGGGCTTATTGCTACCTCAAATCACATCCTCATGGTTAGCAACAGGGCGAGCATATGTGACGAAACCTACCGGCTCTCCTGTCTGTTGGAGAGAGGGGGTGCGCCGGGAGCGAAGAAAACAAAGGCTAGGTCACAACTCACTTTCATGGCTAGTCTATTGACTACGGGACCATTGATCTTGGGACACTTACTTTACCCACTTGTCACTTTGTCTACTTGTCATTTTTATGTCTTTCATCGCCTGTCTCCTGTCTCAATGTCGTCAGGGAATGGAACCCGGCCCAGGCCCTGCAATGGACTTTCCAACCAGCTGCGAACGGCATGATGTGCGCCTGTGGTTGATGCTGCCAGTTAGGCTAAGACCTAACCAGTTAGCTGCTTGGTTGGGTTGATCGTTGCAAACGCCAGACAAAGGAAACGGAGAAGGGAGACGAAGAGAGAGAGGGGGGGGGGGGCGAGGAGGGAAAGGCCCCTCGAAAAGGTAGGCAGGGTGAGAACGAGAGCGAGAGAAGGATAAGTCGGGGTTCTCATATGCAACGGCTTGGGCATCTTCAGTATACTCCCGAGACACCGTCCCCAAGGAAATGCATAACTTGGCTCTCTTCCCTCCTCTACCTTTTCTCATGCACACTCTCCTGTCTCCTATCCACGTTGGGCACACACCCTCCCGATAATAGTATAATGATCAATGCCGGTCTCGCATAGTGTCTGGAAGCATCAGTGGCGTCGTCGCCGTCATAAGGTCATTGATTCATTGACTAGCAGTGCCGCCACCCTCCTCTCTAATCATCGCTCTCTAGGATCATTGTCTCTTGGTTAGTCTTGCGGATGGAAAGAGATAGCTAACAAAGAGGACAATCCAACAAGCCCTTGGTTTGTTGCCTGCGCCATTTATTCTTGTCTCACGTCTCTCTCCTTCAAAGATCAATACCATCACATACACTCCCATACAACACCCACGCTCGAGGCCCTGCTACGAGCGAGTTAGCCGGCGACATCGTATCATCGCTATAGTCGTCGTCCCTTCCCCCGGCCCAAATCTCTTCTCACGCCCGATGTCTAAGCACTAGAGGTGCTACTAGGGGCGTCGCCGTAGTAGCTGTGCGTACGCTGCCGAGCAGTATCTTACTGTTTGGACCCCGAGTTGCTTCGCCTATTGACGTTCCTCTGTTTGCTGAGGAAATGTCCGGATCTGGTGGCAGTCTTTCTCCCGCTCCCGCTCCCCCCCCTCCTCCTCCTTCTACCACTTCTTCAAATGGCCGCTCCTCCCTTCCGATCGTAGGGCCGATAGGAGCCCTAACAAGGAGTCGGAGCCGGAGCCAAGCTACGATGACAACAAATCCTCGGGATGTTGAAGAGGCAACGGCGCCGGCGGCACCAGTAGTAACGCCGAGAAATCCCCTTCCGCCAACGCCGGATTCTTATCGCCTCGGCGACGCATCCTCTTCTGCTACCACGCCAACTAGACCGTCTCGTAAACGGGTCCATTCGATCGACGTGGAAGAGGCCAACCAGATCCGGATGCGAGACCTTCGACTCTACACTCCCAGCACCGCCAGATCGACTACGACCGAGGGGCCGAGAGAGTTTATATGCCTCTGTACGAAGGCGCCTAAGGTTCCAAGACCACGCAACGGTACGTGGGGCTATCTATCTCTTAATCCCTGGACACTCCTGGGGCATCCTTTATGATCCTGGACTGGATGTCATCTAACTTGAGTCATCATCCCGCACCTACACGCTGCGTTCCCCCCCTTCCTTCTCTCTCCATCTCCCTAAGCACTTCGTCCTCCCTACAGAATTAGATAGAGCCCTAGAGGCATCTCCCCCGTCTTGAGGCAGGAAACTCGGACGGAAGTCTTTTTCTTTGTCTCATGAGTTACGGTTTCTAATGTATTACAATCCCGCCCGAGTTGTCGGCCCCTCTGTCGCTTTTTTTTCCACAGTGCCCTTTGGCAAGATCTGGGCGCACGTTGCGGATGAAGGCTAACTCTTATCATTTCCTCCGTTGCCGTAGCATTCATCCTCTATCGACAACATTATCAAGGCCAAGTCGCAGCCAGGCATCCCGGACTTGCCAATCCAGAGATTTCCAAACTTATAGGCGAACAGTGGAGGGAGCAACCTGAGGAGGTAAAGAATAGCTGGAAGCGGCTCGCTGAAGAGGAGAAGATCCGTCATCAGCGTCAGTATCCTGACTATAGGTACCAACCTCGGCGAGGAGGTAAGACAACTAGTGGGAGACCCATCGCTGCAGCTGGCGAGGATTCTGGGCATTGCCCTAAGTGTGGCGGTCGGTATATCGCAACGCCGAGGACGCCTTCAACACCATTCAGCGCCGCGGCCCCCCTACTGTCAGATCCTGGCTCGTATATGTATCCCTACACTACGCCCAACCCGCGGGTCATTGAGACGGACCACCTACGACGTGGGTCTGCCTCGACCGCGACGTCAGTTGACGCACATGGTCGAAGGTATACGCAGGGGCCGCCGCAACACGTCGGCGAAGAGTCCCCCGCGACGTCTTCAGCGGCGGCGTCACCCGGGGGCACTGTGAAGCGACGGCGCTTCCACGGGCCTGATATTTACGTGCCTGGCCCACCTACAGGAGGCTATATCACGGCCGATTCTCATTACCACCCGCCTTCCTCAACGGCTGGCCCGCCGCCTCATGTGGGATACATCACGGCCGGTCCACATCCTGCAAGATATATCACGGCTGATTCTCGATACTACCCGCCCGCCACAATGGTTAGCCAGCCGCCTACAGGCCTAGTGACGACCGAATTTCGATACCACTCGCCCCCCTTACCGGCCGGCCAACAGGTCTCGGCTACTGGATACGGATCAAGTCCTCTCAGAGCGGCTGTCCCATACAACATGCCTAGTTATACCAGTCATCCATACACGCGATCACATCCGCAGCCGCAGCCGCCGCCGCCGCCGCCGCCGGTAGCAGCAGCTCCGCGACCTTCAACGTCATACCAACCTGTCCCCACATCGGTTCGTTCTAGCTCTGGGTTTGATGAATCACTTAGATTACCTCCACTGCAGACTCAAATCACAAGCGTACCTGGGGAAAACTCGGAGGCAGGCAGTGCGCGCACTATCTCTGACACTAGTACTCCTGGCCGCGGTGTTGGCTTGGGCATCTCTCGTGGCCCTAGCGGAACACCAGGACCACCACCAAGCCAACAAGCCAGGTCGATGATTCTGCATAGGCTCAACGTGTTGCACTCGATTAGCCCACCACTGAAGCCCCCCAGCCCCGGAGGGCCACCGTTCGAAACGCGGGGACCCCTTATTGCCATCGAGGGCTCGATCCCATCTTTGCGCAAGACGGTAGCTTCTTTGGTGGAAAAGGTTCTCTCCGTCTCAGACGAATATGTCGTGAAGACATGGGTCGATGGGACTCCGGCTCAGTCAGTCGCGGGTGAGGCAAGCGGAAAGGGTAGCGACGATAATGAAAACCGAAAAGAGGTAGAGGCAGGTCTCGGGAAGCCAGCAGAAGTCGCCAATCCGCTGGCAGGCTATCTAGTCAGAATGCTACGATGGCATAGGACCTCAGAAGAGCTGGTGAAATATATCACGAGCCGCCCGCGACGCGGTACTGAGAACGGCGAGGGTGGAAAAGATACCGAGTCCGGTGGAGGCTCGCCCTCGAGCCCGGATGCCAGACTCCCGGTCGCGGTCATGGCAGACGGGTACAGCTTGACCGTATCAGATAGATACGTGGACATGTTGCGCGTCGACGACACGTATCATCCGGAAGACCACTGGCAGTGGATCGCAACACTGTGGCGCGGCATCGTCGGAGCGGATCTAACCATCTACGTCGTCAAGGCGGAGGAGACGGATGTCCAAGGCCATAACTGCGTCAATTTTGTCAACCAGGCAGTCGCGATAGTGCATCTGGTGGAGGGCAGAGGGATGGACGAGAGGGTAGAGCGGCGCCTCGGCTTTGAGTTGATCGAGTGGATGCGTGCAGGGAGCTTCAAGGCCGGGTTCGAGATACGTTGATAGGATTTGTCTAGCCTTCTTCTCCAGCCATTCCCGCCCTTCTCTGCCGAGGGGAGGGGCCATATAAGCATAGAATTGGAAGGAAGAGGAGAGATCAAAGGGAGAACGTCTTTTGTCGGGGTCTACAATGTTAAGATTGATTAGGTATAATGCAGAAGATCACTTGGCGATTCGATCTTTTACGCCTTAACTACTATGGGCCTGCTGTACGGCGTGTGGGCATGCTGTTAACTTCCTTTCTTCTTTTGTTAAAGAGAGTAAGGTAGGTAGTAAGGTAAGAAGACAGAGAGCTATGGTAGTTGCATAGATCGTGAGTACAGTACATGTCCGGAGGCAGCGTAGAGGCAGATATCCTCCCAAGTGAAAAGTCTAGCTAGCCGTAGAAGACAGAGGTAAATATATTATATTCCTATTGAAAAATAGAATCAAGTAAAATTTCTCTATATATTATATGATTCTAAGTACTATTACGATGAAAACGTCGTCAAGTTAACATAGTATATTATATATATATAATTAGTATTAGATTAAAAATGAGAGGTGAATTAATAATATATGTATAATATTATAAAATATTAATTAAAAATAAATAATAAAGTAAAATAAACCTTTTAAGATAAAATAAAAATAAAAATAAATAATAAAAGTTTATAAGATATATTTATTATGTGTTAATCTTTATTAATGTTATATTACCTAACTTAATATACCTAATGTCTTACCCAGCATCCCGGTATGATGGCAGGTGCATTTGCATATGTCTCAAGAGGGGACCTAGTGTATAGACTATACTACGAGAGGTACCTCGGAACTATCCCTGCGGGGAGTACCGACGATCACGGTACGCAACATACAACAGACGCGCTTGTGTGTATATGCACTTATTCAATGTCGAAGGGCCACTACTTTACGCATAATACTCTAATGCATCTAACGCCCATATGCACATCACCTGTACATAGAGGTGGATGGATGGATCCCAATGCATCTTACTGCACCTGCATTTTGCATTCGCGTACCGATCCCAAACCAAAACGCGTTCAACCCGTTCCTCACCTTGGCCAACGCCATCTCCTCCCCCTCCTCCCCTTCGTCATGCGCTAGCTATCAATCGCAAAACCTGCCCAGTATGACGGAGATAGCAGTGGGACAGACGATCCGCCTCAGCGACGGCCGCAATGCCACCGTTCGCTTTGTTGGCCAGACCCATTTCGCCGTCGGAGACTGGGTCGGCGTCGAGCTCGAAGACGACAGCGGAAAGAATGACGGCTCTGTCCAGGGCGAGCGCTACTTCGAATGCGCCTTGGGCAGGGGCATGTTCGTCCGGCCCAGCACCGTCATCATTCTACAGCCCGCCCCGCCCCCGAAACCCCCTGCCGGCCCTATTCGAAGAGGATCGCGAGCAAGCACCGCCGCCGCAGGTTCGGTACGGCCAACCTCCATGACAGATGTCTCCATGGGGAAGCGGATGAGCATCAACGCACCGAGCCCCAGTCCTGTGCCTCGCCCGAGGCCTGCCAGCATAGGGAGGGTATGTATAGCGTCATTCAGTACAGCCAGGCCGGTCGCTCCCCATTCTGACCTTGGCCTCGTAGTCTCCCACCAAGTCTCCCACGAAGCAGCTCGGGGCCGGCGCGCCTATTATCGCGAACTCGAGGACCGGAACTCCGTCGAATGCCCGCGTCCCGTCTGTCGGAGCGAGGGTGCGGCCCTCCGTAGGTGGTTCGAGAACCTCCATGGGTCCACCGGCGCTGCCATCTGCCGGACCTAGGAGACAGCTGTCAACCTCATCCGCGAGTGCAAGAGCCGTAGCCGGTGCTACCCGGCCCGCTGCGCCACGGGTCCCGACCGCGCCCGCCCGTGGATCCACCCGTACCTCCACGGGGAGAGTGCGGTCGGGGGACTCCCTGTCGGGCAATTCCGGTGGCAACAGATCGGACCTTGGGTCTCCGCTTAAGAGCGACGGGGAGCTGACGATTAGTCCTGTGAGCTCTAGGACCAGGGCACTGGAGAAACTCACCTCTGCAGGGCCGTCCTCGTCGACGTCCTCGAAAGCACCAACGGGCGCAACGCCGCGGGCGGCTGGGGGCACAGGACCTAATCGACCGGCGGCTAATAACGCTATTGGTCGGGAGAATGAAGACCTCAAGGCAAAGCTCAAAGTTCTCGAGCGAAAGCGACTGGAAGACCGGGAGAAGATGAAGGACATGGAAAGGCTCCAAGAGCAGCTCGACAAATTCGAAAATGTCAACAAGAAGATAGAGAGCAAGGTTCAGACCACAGTGCAAGAGAATATTGGCCTACGGAGGCAACTGAAGGAAGCTGAGGAGCGGCTGGAGCAGATCGAGGCCCTGCAAGCAGAACACGAGAGCGTAATGGAACTGGCGACTTTGGACCGAGAAATGGCCGAGGAAACTGCCGAGGTGTACAAGGCCGAGCTTGAAGCCTTGAAACAGAAAGTGGAGGAGCTTGAGCTCGAGGTGGAAATCCTACGTGAGGAAAATGCCGAATACTCGAAGGGCATGTCTCCCGAGGAAAGGGCAAGCGCCGGGTGGCTCCAGATGGAGCGACACAACGAACGGCTACGCGAGGCGCTGATCAGATTGCGAGATCTTACCCAACAGCAAGATGAGGAGTCGAGGGCGCAGATCAAGTCCCTGGAGAAGGATCTCGAAGAGTTCGACGCCGTCAGGGAGCAGTACCAGATCTCCAAGGAGAAATTACTCGAGTCGGAGACCCGGGCTGAGGACCTTCGGCAGCAGCTCGATGATAATCTCGGCGCTGAGGCCATGATCGAGCAGCTCAGTTACGAAAAGTTGGCTCAGTCGGAGCAGATAAACGAGTTGAAGGCGGTGATAGATGACCTCGAAGCGCTGAAAGAAATCAACGACGAACTCGAAATCAACCACGTCCAGAACGAGAAGGAGATGCAGGAGGAATTGGATTTCAAAGATAGCATCATCACTGAGCAGGCTAGACGAGCTGCCGAGAAAGACGAGGCCATCGGAGATATGGAGTATACGCTCTCCCGATTCCGAGAGCTTGTCACGAATCTCCAGACCGATCTCGAGGACATGCGTGCCTCTCACGCCGTCAACGAGGCTGAATCCGAACAGCTCAATAGCAAATCGAGGGCAATGATGGATCTCAACCAGAAGCTCCAGATCTCGGCTGCGAAGACACAGGTCAAGACTATCGATCTAGAGCTGCAGCGCATGGACGCGCAGGAAGCGCAGCAGCACCTCCAGATCGTCAAGTTGTTCTTGCCCGACAGTTTCAACGTCGACAGAAATTCCGTCCTAGCCCTGCTACGGTTCAGCCGGTTAGCCTTCAAGGCAAACCTGCTACATGGCTTTGTCAAGGAACGCGTCAATGGGCAAGCACACCCTGGACACGAAGACGACGTGTTCGCAGGCTGCGACGCACTGGATAAGCTAACCTGGGTGTCTTCAATGTGCGACCGCTTCGTCAATGCCATCAGCCACTGTTCACTGGAGCAATTTGCGAAGTACGAAGGAGCCCTGTACGAGCTAGAACCTGTCGAGAGGGCCCTGAATGCCTGGATCGACGGTCTGCGGCGCGACGAGCTGAAGGAGAAACAATGTGCGAGCGAGCTACAACGCACCATCGCTGTTATGACCCATCTAGGCGAGGTTCACATCTCGGAGGGACTGGAGAGCTTCGCGGATGAGGTGCAGATGAAGGCGGTTCTGATGCAAAGCCACCTCGAGTCCGCTGCTGCAGCTTTCAACATCATCAAGGATATGGTTCAGAGAGTTGTGCCTGCCAACGGCGACGAGGACGAGCTTGCCCAGCATTTTGCCAAGAAGTCTGAGGCTGTCATCAGTCAGACCCGCAGCGCCAAAGTCGTAGTCAGCAAAGCCGTGAGGTCGTTGGAAGATCTCAGGGCGAGATCTTTAGCTTTGACTCCTGACACCTTGGAAGTTTTTGAGCAATATGAGGCAGCTAGTCAAGAACTCGCAGCGATGTCTCGACAGATCGGCGTGGACCTTCACAAACTGCTAAGTGAAGAAGGTCGCGCAGAGCCGTTCACCTACCCCGAAGTGCAGAATGCGGTCCATCAGACTGTCTTGACAGCTTTCTCGTCCGCAGAATCAGACCTATTCGCAACCTACCTTTCGAAACTTCGGGTCCTTACCAGCCAGATCACCGATCTTGCCGCAGTTTGTGCCGACCTGTCGCAGACGCAGGAGTTCGAGCGGAGCCCGGCGCCATGGATCCTCCGAGCCCAAGAACTCAAGGCTCTTAAGACGATACCGGTTGATGCCGAGGAAGAGCTGCGTCAGCTTAAGGAGCACTACAATGAGGCTCGTCGTACCGTTGCGTTACGTGACGAGAACCTTAGCACGGCCACTCTCCGTATCGAGACGCTCGAGGCCCGCATGCGCGACGCGAACACGAAAGCATCTCGCATTACCGATCTCGAAGCACAGATAGTCGATGCTCAGGACCTCGTGAGCAGCCTCAAGAAGGACATCGAGCAGCAGGACCGCGAAGCCAAGACCCTCGAGGCCGATCGCGACAAGTGGAAGAAGATTGCCGGCGACAGCAGGGCCTTCGGCACCGCCGCCGACGCCGCCGGGGCGAAGGCCGGCCAAGAGCGCGCGGTTGCTACTGCGCGCGAGATGGACGCTCTCAAGGACGACATTGCCAGCTTGCAGGCGGCGGTTCGGTACCTGAGAGAGGACAACTACCGCGCGCGCGTGAAGGAGCAAGCCCGGTACGACTGGCTCGCCGAACCACTGAAGAAGCCCGTTCCCACGGGCGAACAGCGGAAGGCCCTCGTCTCGGCCGAGGCCAAGGACGCGCTAGGCGAGCTGCTGAAGATCGCGACGTCGGCTAAGGTGTACGACCTCAACTCGCTACCCAAGGACAAGATGGCTTGGCGGCCGGCCAAGGTCACGCCGCAGTACCACGCCGCGAAGCAGGCAGAAGACTACGCGGTGTGGCGGAGCTGGCAAGACTCTATCGTCCAGAAGACGAGGGTGGTTCTCAGCGGGGCCCAGCCAGCGAAGAAGGAGTACGACCACGCCAAGGCGATGCGGAAGGCCGCCGCCGCGCGGCTCCATATCCGCCTCCCGGACTTTGACGGAAAGGTGATTCCGGGCGTGCGCGGCGCGGAGGTGCACATCGTAGGGTCCAGGGAGTGGGAAGGGTTGCAGGGACGGCTCACCGCGGCTATATAGCCCGTGTAAATCACGTAAAGGGAGGGGGAGAGATAGGAGGGAGGGGTCTTTTACGAATTATCAGGGGTGGATGTGTGTGTGTGAGAGATACCCTTTATTCTACCTTGTACGACTACGGTCTTTTGACGATATGTAGCATATGACAAAAACCAAAGTCAAATGTTAACATATATTATGAGTTCACCACCTGGACTCCCTGGATGTATTTACATATCAACTGTACCTACGAAGCCTCTCCCATCGGATAGAGTGGACCATTCCCGGTTTTCCTATAATCCCCATAGGCACGCCGATTTGATGCTTGGTGTTCCCGACCTTCCATTTTCCGCTCTCGTACTTTTTTTGCTTCATCCCTTCATGCCCTTGCTTTGCCCTTCTTTCCTTTCTTACTACCGCTACCGCTCTCATTGCCCGGGCCCGGCCCGGCACCGCCGGAGCTACCGCCGAGCCCGCCGAGCCCCTGACCGAGCATGCTCATCATGTCAGCGGGGCTGCCGCCGCCGGCGCCCTGCATCTCGCGCATCATGTCCTTGAAGGCGTTCTCGCTGACGCCGCCGCCGGTCATGGCGGCGCTGTAGGCGGGCAGCAGGTCGCCCATCTTCCAGCCGCGGGGCACGACGGGGCGCGGCCAAGGATCGCTATCGGCCGGGGCGTTGAGGCCGGGGACGCGGACGCGGCGCAGGGCGTCGCTGTGGTCGGTGGTGGGGTGTGCTTGTAGGTACTTGGCGATGAGGATATAGAGGTGGTGCTTGTTCTTGACGTCGGACGAAGCGGGGGCGGGCACGGGAGTAGAGGAGGAGGACTTGCCGGGCAGCTTGATGCGGACGCGGCCCGGGTTGGCCCAGTCCTTGGGGTGGACGCGGTGGGCCTCGAAGACGGGCGACAGGCGCAGCGAGGCGCAGGCGCTCGCGATGTCGCGGGCGAGGGGGTTGTGGACGGCGAGAGACTTGGAAACGCGGCGGCCCTCGGCGCGGGAGCGCGAGGCGTCGAAGTACACCGGGTACAGCATCTGGTAGTCCTTGATGTCGCTGGCCTGGATCTGCTGCGGTTGGGGGAGCATGGTGGGGTGGACGAGGGGCGCGGAGGACGGGGGCGGGGTGGTGGATGACAGCGAGGCAGCGGGTGGGCGGGCAGAGGGGGGCGGGTTTATGGATCGGAGAATTTCGGATTCGGCGAAGTCATCGATGTCGCCCTCGCTCGGATCAGAGAGGTCGCTGTCGGATACTTCTTCTACCCGTGGGTGGGACATGGTTTGGTTCTGAAGGAGGCGTGCTAGATCCCGTCCCTCTATCTAGATGGTTCTTTGTCTGCTCGGATATACCTAGGTAAGTGTAGGCAGGTAAAGTGTTTGCCGGTGTGTATATTCGGCCCCGGCAGGATTGCGTGCCGAGAGATTGGTGAGGCGGTGGGAATTTGAAATTGTTCAGCTCGATTTCGTAGCTTTGGAGTCGTGGTTGAGGTTTTGTGCTTCCGAGATGACTGTCAGAATCGGGTACCTAAGGTACCGCCGGTGGTGCTCATATCATCATGTACCTAAGTATCATACAGGGGGAGGGGGTTCTATCAACACGATCAAGGACCGTTTCTACACCTAGGTATTAGTATTACAGATATACTATTAATAGAACCTCTCTTTTTATATTATAGTAATTTTATTAATTGAAGTAAGTATTTATTATATTATTAATATCATATAAACTTAATATATATTATAATATTAATATAGTATATGTTACAGAGCAGTTGAACTAGCCTATATAAGCCTACATACTGCAAAGCGTAAATGTAAACGTCTACGTTTTATGTAATAATATAAATAATGATTACTTTATTTTAAAATGAAGGTTTATTTTTTATACTATTAATATAGATAATAGTAATAACATATTATTTTAAATTTAATTTACTTAAATGTAATTATAGAAATACGTTTATCAAATCATGATTCTTTTTAAAGGTAAAACAGCCCTTAACATGGTATCGACAGACTCTTATCCTCCTATATAGTAGGTAGGTATTCAGTTAGCGTGGTTCAATGCGCCCGCGAGGGGAGGTCCTTGCGAAAGTACATTGTGGAGGATGGACCCGTCCTCCCTCCCCGGGCCGGTCCGGAAGTAGAGGCGGCCGGCCCGGATATCCAGATTAGGTAACTCTATGAGTTCCCTATTGTATCAACAACAACAACAACCCCCCTTCCCCCCCCCAATCATAGGTATACGCACCACCCAGTCACCAGATCCTCTACGCCATCCGTATTTAACAGAGACAGGTCATGGGAATATTCCGATGCTGCGTTACGAATTCCTAGCATCTAAGGAGTTTACCTACCTTAGCTTTCCGCTGTCTCCTTTCGGTGCGCGCGCGAAGATGGGTGCCCGGAAACAACCCATCCGATTACGCGCCGTACCCTGCGATAGGCTTGATAGTTTGCCCTCATTATCAACTTTCGAAACAGAGGGTAGGCATTCAGCCGCCCCGTGGACACCCTTTTGGATTGTGGACTGGTCGAGTAGAAACTTCGTCTACGTCGGTGACTTGGATAGCGACGATGCCTCTCCGGCGAGCACTCCGATGCGTCCCGTCTCTTACCGATTTACCCCCGATTCGATACTGCTCAAGTGCCGATATCACGGGAAATCGATAGACAGGTAGCGTTGGACAATTTATGGTAATGACATCGCTGCAACACTTGGGTTGGAGAATGTAACTATCATGGTGATTGCCATCCCTCCACCTGCGCCGAAGGATATTTGCCTCGCCGTCGCACCCCGCACCCGTCGGCGATTAGGACACAATCTCTTGGGGGGGATGGACTCACTCGCTACGGATGAGTATAGGCTGAGAGGTATTTATAACACACCCCGTTGCTGCTGTTGTTGGGGTGTGGAGAGAGATGGCGTGGTGCGACGATTCTATCAGCGGCGTAGAGCAGAAAAGCGCAATGTCGGCAGATGTCTCACATCCTGTGGCGGTGCTACAGAATACAACTCGAGCAGAGATTCTAGCATTCATCATACTTCTGGTAAGATCAACCCCGCGAGATGGTACGAGCTCACACCGGCTGAACCACATGGAAAGCTCCTGGCCCTCGGAATTACCAAGGTCATTTACAATGTCTTCTTCCATCCATTGGCCGCGGTGCCGGGCCCTAAGCTATTCGCGATCTCAGCCATCCCCATCAGCTGGTCCCGGGTCCGTGGCACCTCTCCTTATAAGTTCGCCGAGCTCCACGAGGAGTATGGCCCCGTCGTGCGAGTTAGCCCAAACGAGGTCTCTTGCGCTGGCACCACCGCTTTCAAAGACGTCTACGGCCCTCGCTACGGGAAAGGGGGACCGCTGCCCCGCGACACGCGGACCGCGACCCTCAAGGAGATGTTTGGGGCAGTGGGCATGTTTCAGGCCAGCGTACAAGAACATGCGCGCATACGTCGTCAACTCAGCCCTGCTTTCTCCGAGAAGGCCTCACGGGAACAGGAGCCCCTGGTGAGGGGGTATATCAACTCCATGCTCCAAAAGTTGCGCGACGCCTCGGAGCGGGGGGAAGCCGTGGACATAGAGAAGTATACTATGTGGGCAACATTTGACATCCAAGGTGACCTAGTATTCGGGGAGGATGTGTTCGGGTGCATTAGGGAAGAGCGCTACCACCCCTGGATCAATATTAGCATGACCTTCTTTACTGGCAGTGTCTACACCCACGCTCTAAACGACATCTCACCGTGGGCCTTGTGGATCTGGCAGCGATTTCTGACCCCCAAGAGCCTCGTCGACGCGCAGAGTTACCATATAAAAACTACGCTAGACCTCGTAGATAAGAGGATGGCTGCCGGGAAGACCAACCACCCGGATTACATGTCATTTATCGCCGGCGAAAGCAAGGCTGGAGAGATGCTCACCAAGGAGCAGATGTACGCCAACGCCCAAATGCTGGTCATGGCAGGTTCGGAAACGGTTGCGACGACTTCCGCGACCACCCTTTTCCTCCTCCTAACGCACCCAAAGAAGATGGATCGCGTGAAGCGGGAGATTCGATCTGCCTTCGATTCGGATCAGAGCGTCACTGCTGCTTCTGTGGCTCAACTGCCGTATCTCATGGCTGTGATCGACGAGTCTATGAGGGTATGGCCCCCAGTTGCGACGTCGTTCAACCCTCGACAGGTACCATCGGGGGGTTGCACTGTCGACGGATACTTCATCCCCGAGGGACTCTTCGTCGGTATCCATAACCACGCCATCGGCCGTCTAGAGGGCTATTTCAGAGGCGCGAAGGAGTTTGTCCCCGAGCGGTGGCTAGGCGACGAACGGTATAGCAGTGATGCTAGAGGGCTTTTCCAGGTATGTTCGAGCATCTCAAGCCCAGCCAATCGAGCGTAATATATATCAAGGCCAATAACGTGGTCGTAACCGACCCGCGAAAAGTATATACCGATAATGTGTGACGATAGCCATTCAGCTCCGGACCAATGAACTGCATTGGCCTCACGATGGGTCGTATGGAGACCAGGGTTATTCTGGCGAGGCTTATATACAACTTCGATATTGAGCTGATGCCCGAGTGCAGCAGCTGGCTCGAGAATCAGAAGAACTACATCGCATGGCACAAGCCCCCTTTGCTGGTAAAACTAACACGGGTGGACTAGCGGGGCAGCCAGCAAGCATGACAGTCGATCGCAGAGCACTGTCACTAAGCGTATGTTTTGTGGGAAGGCTGACGGCATGACTTTCCGAATCGCTGAGGGGAGGACAGTTCGTTTCCCATGTCTACGTTAATAAGAGTAAAAATATGGAGTTCGAGCCAACAGTCGTCCCTTATCGTTGAGGACCCGTATGCTGTACTCGAGAGCAGCTGTGAGGCGTGATCTACCGCTCACCGTCAGCAACGAGCGGCACCGTTGAGGAGGGTCGATGGGAACCTAGCCTTGCAGCCCATTCAGCGACATTTATCGACTCCCAACATGCACCCCCCACTAGTCTTTGTCACTTCAAGGTCTTGAACGCCTATTGTTAATAACGCATGCAAGAGGTCATTTGACGCAACCGGCACGGCGCCCTCTCCCGGGAGCTGGAACCTCCTCGCCCGCCAAGCAGCCAGCCAGTTGATGTCAGACGTGCAGAACACGACAGCGCCGGTTCGTCGATGTATTCAGCCTGATTGGCTCATGCCTATCCCAGGGAGGTGTCCGGATTATATCATGTGTCACACACACCTACCCACACACACACACACACATACATATATATATATACCTACAGTCTCACATACGCCTCGTTGCTGCCGGTCAGGGATCATAAATCGGGTGGGGTTGGCAACGATAGGAGATAAGCTGCCCTGCGGGGAGCGAATGAGCCAGCCGCCAGTTGCGTATTGTCCCCGGACATGTGTGTATGTACGTCTCCCTTAGTGTGTCTGGCGAAAAGGCGCGGGTTTCCTGGTGTATACACCTAGATATCTGCGTACGGACATCCGCGCGTTGTGAGCTCTGTAGGTGGGGGGGACGTACCCGGAGGTACGATGCTTAGATCTGTCTTCGAGCAAGACAGGGTCGTATCGGCTAGAAAATTGGTAAGAGACCACGTCTGGTTCGGATATCCTAGATGTCCGTACGTGGGTAGCCAAATAGCGTAGGGCCGATGGGCAGCACTCGGTACAATAACATGCACAACCATTCCGAATCGGTAGTGTCATACCGGCCCCTACTCCATCCTAACCATGGGGCCCGGCGTCTATCATCATCTATCCACCGCTGTTGGCGTACCCGTATGTGTATATATGTAGCGAGTTCTTACTCGCTTAGGATAGCGTGGGGAAAATAAATAACTAGGCAGGCCGATGCTTTCGGGCACTGGACTAGATACTCGCTATCGTAAAGTGATCTTATCTGGTCGCTGCCGCAGCGGCGGGGAGAGTGATGTGGGCTTCCCCCTTCTCTAAACGAAGGTCTACCCACCAGGGGCCCCCTACAATATGCAACAATGTGCTAGTTATGTTCGGTGTTTCGTTCGTGGAAGTCCTCTTCCCGTGCCTTTGCGTCCTTGTCAGCGAGTTCATCCGGGCTCGCTATCAGGATTACCAATGTAGGTATAACGAAGACGAGACCCTCGGGAACCCGCTCTCATAGGTCGTCGTATCTGTTGCTTAACACCCCCTGTCCTCCCTTGCCATGTTCGCGTCCTTGACTCGGGTAAGCTAAGACGTGTCGACTCAGTTCAGCCTCTTTCTACACCTTCCGTGTCTGATACCATGCAACCCGCTTGACGCGAGCCTTTCCTGACCATCCGATGCTTAGTGTCCCTTCCGCGAAACACGACTTCTCTCGTACAGACCGATACCGTAGTTTGTCCCGTCTGAACCGTTGACGGCGCTCTCGTCTCCTACGATCGTTACGGGTCATCAGTTTTAGGTATTCTTCCGGCTCTTCTTCGGGAGGCCGGCTTCTCTTCTCGACTTGACATCTCCTTCGGCTAGCCACTTGCTCGCCTTGACAAGCTGAACGACGTTGAGGAACTGCTTCAGAGCCATGATAGGGGCGCTAACCCCAGCCATGATCCAAGGCCAAGTCGAGTCCATCTTGTTGGCACGCGCCATCTCGAGGGCGCCAGCGCTGTAAGGATTGGTGAACAACTGGCGGAGCACTGAGCTGTTAACCTGCGCGCCGGTCTGGATAGCAGCGGCTCTGGTTTCACCCAGTGGCTTGAGGAGCTGGGGCGACAAGAGCGGAGAGGAGAAGGACAGTAAATACAGAGCGATGAAGAAGAGCTCGTTGAGGGCACAGCATACGAAAAGGACGACCTGGATATGGTGAGCGCGATGCGGGGCGATACTCGGGTTCGAAATACCCGAAGAGAAAGAAGACGGACTTACTTTGTTAGTGTAGTAGAGGTTTAAGACCCAACTCCTCGACTTATCCACATTCTTGTGGCTGGTATCTGAGCCGCCCATGGCTAAGGTTGCGTACATGTGCATGTAGTGGCTCGCAAAATCCACCGAAATCAAGCCTTGGAACACGATGGCCCATCTGGGGAAGGCCGAAGAAAGGAATACGAGCAGGCACGAGGTAGTGCATCGATCCGTCACCATGTCTAGAACGGCACCGAACCTAGTTGACTGTTGGAAATAGCGAGCCGCGTAGCCGTCGAGGGCATCGAGAAGGCACGAGATACTGTAAAGGATGGAACATGTCCGTGGGTGTAAGGGCATGTAATAAAGAGAGGCGATCGCTAAGACGATGCGAGAATAGCCTACGCGACATATTAGTACTCTATGCCGCCGACCGTGTAGACGGAGGGGCGGCACGGCGCAAAGCAAGCACACACCGATGATATTGGGCCAGAACAGGAAGATGTTCTCGTGAGGAGTAAACTCGACTCCGGAACGAGAAGAGAGGATAGCTTGGCCGTTGCCGTTGCTCTTGTCGTCCCCGGCGCCTTGGGGGCTAGATTTCGCGTAACTATCAACCGCTTCTGCGGTCCCGGCTGCCTCTGGTGCCAGAGCGGCCTGCCGCCTGGTTTTCCTCTCGGACATGATGGGGGCCTCCTTATCCAGTGCTCAGTAGATAGATGCAGGATACAACAGTTAAGTTGGCGGGGCTGTGGCTGGCACCAGTGGGGGATTGCAGGTCGGCGGCTAGTCGAGCGGCAGTAGATATAGCTATATACTGGGAGGGGGGCGATATTAAGGTGGTGAGATATGATGGTAACCCTCCAGGATAGGTAAATGTCCAGAGACGAGAAGGGGAGGCAGCTTCAAGTGAAGAGAAGAATGGGGATGCGAAGCAGATGCTCGAAGGCGGAGTGTGTTAGCGAAAAGAGGGAATGACGAAAGATATCGAGACAGGCGGACGGATGTGAATATCGTAGGATCTGATGACGGACCGTTCGGTTGGCCCGGGAAGAATGGGGAGAAGAAGATTGAAGGCTCTGGGCAGCCAGGGATTGAGATAATGAGATAATGCTGCGTTAGCACGAGTTAGCTGGAGTACGTAAGGTAGGCACCGAAGGGAGTATGAGGAGGTACCTAATTCTAAGGCTGGCCTTGGGAGGTATTACGCACCTAGGTACCTAGGCAGGCAGATAAGTACCCGGCCTCACCTAAGCGACGTACCTGTAGGTGTAGGCATAGGTACCTAAGGTAGGTAGGACGGTGGGAGATGCCTTAGGTACTTGTACCTACCTCAGGAGGTACCTGTAGAGGAGGTACATAGGTACTCTGTAGATACCTACAGGTACCTACCTACCTACTATAACGGGAGAGGGGGGGGGGGGTCTATCGACAATATGTCTAAAATAAGACCCGAATTATTCTGCGAAGCAGAATAATTCGGGCTTATTTTTAGCGTTTACGCTAAAAATAATAACCTATCCGGAGGATAGAGAGATATGGGAAGTATACTTAGTTTATTTAATAACCATTTTTACGTTTACGAACTTTACTTATAATAAAAAACATAGAAAACGTAAGAAATTATATATAATTTTTAACGGGATTAAAATCTAAGATTAAGAAAGATTAAGAAAGATTAAGAAAGATCAAGAAAGATCAAGAAAGATCAGGAAAGATCAGGAAAGATCAGGAAAGATCAGGAAAGATCAGGAAAGATCAGGAAAGGTTACTGCAAAACAGGTCAGGAAAGGTCAGGAAAGGTCACTGCAAAACAGGTCAGGAAAGGTCAGGAAAGGTCACTGCAAAACAGGTCAGGAAAAGTCAGGAAAGGTCACTGCAAAACAGGTCAGGAAAGGTCAGGAAAGGTCACTGCAAAACAGGTCAGGAAAGGTCAGGAAAAGTCACTGCAAAACAGGTCAAGAAAGGTCAGGAAAAGTCAGGAAAGGTCACGGCAAAATAGGTCAGGAAAGGTCAGGAAATAAGGGTAGAAAACGCGTCAGAAAAGGTCAGGAAATAGGGGTAGAAAACGCGTCAGTAAATATACGTAAGGATTTCAAATTATAAGACTCCATTTATCCCGCCGTTTTTATTAGGTGTACGTATTTTTAGGGACCCATAGCGCGTTTTTTAGCCAGTAAAAATAGAGTTTCCCCCAAATGACCCCTTTACAGGGTTATTTACAGGGTTATTTACAGGGTTATTTACAGGGTTATTTACAAGGCTATTTACAGGGCTATTTAACCCCGCAATTAATCAGCATGGCAGGGGGTTATGCGTATTATAACTATCCTCCGGATAGGATAATACTAACATGGTATGGAAGTAGTCTTTAAATAAGGTAATAATGATAAGCGCTTTCTATAAGTATAAGATACTTATAGTAAGGGTTATAGTACGGATTTTATTATATTTTAATATAAGTATTATAATGTAGTTAGTTTAATAAGATAAATATTTATTACCTTTTTAATATCTTATCGATTCGGACATATATTCTAGCTTGATATTATATAAAACAGCCATTCTATTTTTAGAAAGAGCTACTAGATTAATATGGTATTTATATTGTACCTATGTCGCATCCTTAGTTTAATTCGCTTTAGTATCGCGATGGAAATACTTTTAGCTATAGTGATCCTTTCTAGGGAGGGTAATAGTATGTGACATAGTGTCGATAGACCCCCATCCCCCGTATGGTACCTACCTACCTCCTCTAGATACATGATGTACCTTTAGTACCCGGGCGGTAATGCAGAGAAGCTACCTAACCTAACCTACCTACATAGAACCTTAGGCAACCCGATAGCAGGGACGCGCGTGCCCTAGATATGCAAGGTACTAGCACTACAGCCCACCCAAACAGGACGAGCAACAAAGCATCGGGGCACATCCTTTTAGGTGATTAATAACCAGCCAGTGTACCCGGTGTATATCGGCATGTCCCTCCCCGGTGTTGTCGGACGAGTGGGCCGGTCCCTGAATGAGGCGAGGCAGGCTAGAGATCCCGAGTCCGCCACGGGGCCTCCTCAGGGTTCACCCGGGGACATGGGTTGCTTCCGGTGGCAGTTCCGGTCTTCAAAAGAAACATGCCTGACGTTTCGGGTAGTGTTTACGGCGGAGCGGCAGTCAGACCCCCACTTCACCACAGCCCTCTCTCTCAATTGACAGGTTCCTCCTGACCTTGGGCACAGGCACCGTATACACGCACGCCACGTTACCTAGGTAGGTACCCAAGGCACTTAAGTATACGTACTGACGGTAGTGCTAGGCACCTGGTATGTAAGGTTGTTCCGGTGAAGTCTTATTACAGGGCCCCGAAAACTATATAATGCATGCACGGGTATGGATGCCAGGGCCACCCATGAAGTCTGAAGCATTCAGCTGCGTGGAATAGAGATGTCTATTTCCGTCTCCGTTAAACGATATACTCATACTTACCTAACACAGTAGCATCATACGATAGGACCTGAATGAGCCTTTCGAGTGCTTAAGGAGGTACCCGTAGCATGCTTATACGTTACCTCTAGGTACCTCCCTACTTACTTACTACCTACCTTGGGTACCTACCTACCTCCTAGGTAGGTATGTATCTAAGTACATATAAGTAGGCACATACCTGCCTCCCCCTACAAGCTATACTCGAGGTAGGCATGTACTTAGGTAAGTGCCTGGCTAGGTAGGTACTTAAATGCATGCTGCATTGAAACGATCACGTACATTAAAAGGCAGGCAGAAGTAAGGGAAAGGGGGGGAGACTTTCCCGAGGGACTACGAGTAAACAGGTACATGATAAGTACATACCTGTCACGCTACCTTAGGTAACGTAACCATCCGCATTTTTTTCCCTCTCCCTTCTCGCTTGCCTGTAGGGTAGGTACCTCTCTTACTCTAGGTACTAGCCGCTACGTACATGGTTATTATTTCCAGCAGGACTGGGCCGATTTATGAAGGCGTCGATGCGACTCTGTTGCTTGCCCTCTCCGGTCCCTTGTTTTTTTCCCCTCGAGGTACCAGTATGAAGTACCTTAGGTACCTGGTAATGTCGGACAGGAGGTACCTACCTAGGTAGGTACCTTTTTTTGTATCGCCCTGCTTTGACCTTCGTAGGACACCCTCAAATTCCTTAGGACCTCACTTGCCTCAGGTGCCTTAGGTAGATCATCTGGCCGGTATTGATCCCCTTCTCCTTATCGATACAGAGCGTGCTCGCATATGCCAACCCGACGGGACGAATTTGATTCAGCAGGACCGCGTTCCTAGGAGCCGAAGAATCGCATAACTTCCATCCCTCTACCCCACCTAGCCGTGGTCTCCTACGACTTACTGCTGATTTACCACTGCCATTATTATAGCGTATTTATATATGCCTCGGATTCGATTCATCCCGTGGCCCTGTCGTTGCTAGTCGATATCGCTACGCGCTCCGTCCGTCTCGATAGCCGGGCTAGCCTCGACAGGAGGGCGAACGCCAATTCCACCGACGCCGTCGTTGGCTCCTCGACCCCATCCCCCTATTTTTCTTTTTCTTTTGCGTCCTCCTTCCCCTCCTCGCCCGCCGTTTGCTTCGCCCAACCCGACAAGGGACTGGTCTGTTTTGGCGGGCTTGAATCTGCGGGTTGGTTCCCAGCTGTCTCCGATCTTGATCGCATTCGGACCCGAATCCACTCTCTTTCTCTCTTTTTTTCCCCTTTTCTCTCTGCGTCTCTCTCTCTGCGTCTCTCTCCCTCTCCCTCTCCCTCTCTATTTCTCTCGCTCTCTCTGTTCCATTCCGGTCGCAAACAACCCAAGGAGACAAATAGGCCCGAAACCCCCTTGGTCCCTCGGGCTTGACAGAGGAGAACGAACGGCATAGGCGCCAGAACTGTCGGTCAGTCCCTAGAGTGCCAGAGCGGTCTACCAAGTAGTGTTAGAGGACGGGTCGCCTTACGTTTTCGCTTTCCTGGTAAGCTCCGTCTCTCTCTCCTCTCTATCCCTCCCTCTGCTCTGTCCCTCTGTACGACCGTGTCTCGTCCCTCTCCATCCCTTCCCTTCCTGCCTCCCTCGCTTACTACCTGCCTCCTATATATATATATATGCTACCCTGAGGGGGATTGGTTTGACATATAAGATATAGGTACGAGTATACACACATATATATATATTAATATAAAATCACACGCGCGCGCACACACGCACATACACATACACATATACACACACGCACACACACACGCGCACACACACACACACACACATACACACATACACACACACACACATACACACATATATATATATTAGCATACCTATACATATATTTGTGTATTTATCTGCATATATATAGAATCGCGACTGGGGGCGTCCTGGACCGTGGAATTCCTACTCGATTCTCCCTTGACCTCCCGACTCTCATCCTATCAGATCTGCATTCCCCCTCCCCATACCTATTGTAAATTGACATCATTCAGCTCCACCACGCCCAGGGTTCTCGCCCGACCGTCGACCGCCCCTGACACATCCTCTCGTCGGTAGAGCCTGATCGGGTCACCACGTTTGTCGGCCAACCTACAATTATCCGCGATAGCGTTTCTGGAGTGGTATAAGTCTCAGCCCGTGATCTCGAAGAAGAGAAAGCCGGCGACTTAGGAAACTCCACGGATAAGTCGGTGACCATGTGTGCAGCTCCGGAACGCCACCCGACCTTCAGGGCGAGCTTCGCCGAGAGAGCCAACCACGTCCCTCATCCGTTGTCGAATTACCTCCTCCGATTGATGGAACTCAAGAAGTCAAACCTGTGTTTGAGTGCCGACGTTACTTCCGCCCGCGAACTAATCGCCCTGGCCGATCAGATTGGCCCCTCCATCGTCATACTCAAGACGCACTACGACCTCGTTGCTGGATGGGACTATCATCCGCAGACGGGCACCGGCGCCAAGCTAGGCGCTATCGCTAGAAAACATGGCTTCCTCATCTTTGAGGACAGGAAATTCGGCGACATTGGTAGCACTGTCCAGTCGCAGTATACAGCCGGTACCGCCCGCATCATCGACTGGGCCCATATCGTCAATGTTAACATGATCCCGGGCAAAGCGGCAGTTACGGCGCTTCTCGAGGCAGCCGCGCGATGGCGGTCGCGTGTCAACTACGAGGTGAGGACGTCCGTCTCCGTCGGCACGCCAGTCTCGGATTCGTTCGACGAGAATGGGGAGGAGGGGGAGGATCAACCGGCTCCCTCATCTAAGGAACCGCCTCCGTCGACGAGCTACCGCGGAACCGACCACAGTGGCAGGAAGGGCAGCATCGTATCCATCACCACCTTAACACAATCTTTCGAACCCGTGGACTCGCCGCGCTTTGCCACGGCCATCGCCGAGGGGGACGAGCTCGTATACGCGGGCATCGAGGAACCTCCATGGGAGCGGGGCCTCCTGATTCTAGCTCAGATGTCGAGCGCCGGGAATTTCATGAACAAGGAGTACACACAAGCCTGCGTCGAGGCTGCGAGGGAACACAAAGGTTTCGTGATGGGGTTTGTTTCCCAGGAAGCGCTAAACACCGAGCCGACGGACACCTTCATCTCCATGACACCGGGCTGTCAGCTGCCTCCCGAGGGGGACGAGGAGAATGGGGCGGTTGCAGGCGACGACCTGGGGCAGCAGTACAACACTCCGGCAAGGCTCGTTGGTGACTGCGGTAGCGACATAATCATCGTCGGGCGGGGTATCCTCAAAGCAGCTTCTCCGCAAGCCGAAGCCGAGCGGTATCGAAGGAAAGCATGGAAGGCATACCTCAAGCGGATAGGGCAACAGACGTGAGGACTGATAAGAGCCCTCCATTGCTATATTACAGGGGTACATGAAACAAGAACGATCCTCGTGGTCCTGCGGTGCCCGGAGTTTTTTTTCTTCCCAAAGTTCTCTTTCGGCTTGTACGGGATAAGTCAGTCAGCATTCTGTGGTGGGAGGGGTTGGTGGGATAGACATCGGAAAGGGCCTCGAAAGAAGCCGTGCCAGCCGTGCTGAATGGTAGGGATAAAGTGCATGCATTGAGCCAATCCTATAGGCAGTCGGCCGTGACAACTACGTTCGGGAAGACTTCGCGTGTGTTTCTCACAAGCGGCCGTTCTATATACGGCGATGCATAGATACCTATGGAGATTCGCAGCCTCTTCTACAACGATTAATTAACTATAGCCACCTACCTACCTACCTAGGTACCTACATCTACCTAACCTAACCATACATGACCCCCCCTCCAGACACTGCTGTGTTAGAGGAGAGGTACCTACTAGGTTAGGTACCCAGGTAACCAACCGTACCCACCTGTATTATACCCAGTACAAGGCAAAGCTTACCATGTAGGTACCTAAGGTACTAGAGGTAGGTAGGTACTAGGTATAGGTCATTTAATTGCATGCAGCGGAATTACACCGACTTTGTCGAAGGACGCAACGTCAACCAGCCAGCCCACTTTACTTTGGTATTATATGCCTACATTGCATCCATGCATGTATGCGGCATACCTACCTGGATATGTGCATTCGTTTATTTCTTCTCTCACCAACTTTCCCCCTCTCAGCCTCTGATCGTACCGAAGATTCCTGCCCTGTAAACCCTCTGCCTCGACCACGCCTTGTGCCATGTCCGCCGTCGAAGTGGCAGAGGACGTTACCCAGGTCCAGACGGACCAGAAAGCAAATCATGGCGTCTACGATAAAGCGCCGCCCCGGAAGCGCAGAAGGATCGTCATAAGTTGTACCGAGTGCCACAGGAGGAAACAGAAGGTGATACGGTGGCGCACTTGTGTCGGTTTCCTTCGGACTAGCTGCTAATGCCTCCTACCCAGTGCGATCGGAAGATGCCCTGTACGAATTGTGTGTCGCGGAACAAGGCGGCCGCTTGCCGATATGAGGCTGGGGCGCCGCCTGCGAAGCCTGGCGGGAAAGGATTCCCCCCGAACGGCAGTGACCACGCGCCCGACACCGTCGAGACCGTACCTATCAAGACGGCAGACTTCGGCTACACCCCGAACAGCACGTCCACCCTTGGCATACTGCGCAAGATCGAGGGGGATGGCGAGCCTCTAGAGGGGATGCCGTCGGATAATTTCGATGGGGATCATTACGGGATCCGGGAGCGCTACAAGGCACTGGTCCGTCAGCTGCCGGCCAGGACCTACGTCGAAAAGCTGGCCGATATCTACTTGCGCGACATCAATTGGCAATACTTCAGCATCGACGAGCCCATATTTCGGGAGCTGATGGACAGGTGGTATAACACGCCGTTCAACGTCCTGTCCAACTCGGGCCCGCAAGCCCTGGATCCCATGCTGAGGGCCTTCCCGGCCTTGCTGTTCCAGATGCTAGCCTCTGCCCTCCTATACCTCCCAGAAGGGGTCGGGGAGACCTTCGAGTCGTTGAAGTACACAGGCAATATGACCTTCGACGACTTAGCCTTTGACTACAGCGAGTCGGGCATCTCTATCTCGTCGATCCTAGGTAAGCGTCAGATGTCCATCATCACTGTGCTGGCCGGCTGGGTGCGTGCTTGTTTTCTCAAGTATACCGGCATGGTTACCGAAGCTGTGAGCGCGCCCGCCCCTCCTTCTGCCTTTGTTTCTCCCGTCCTTCTGACTTTCTGGCGAGTGGCATCAAATTGGCACATGCATCCGGGATGCGCAGGAGATCGGCCTACACCGCGACCAGATGGATCCTCAGCCAGGTCCAGACGATTCGACCGAGGATGCTTTGGAGAAGATGTGGATGGCTCAGAGCCGGCGGAGGATCTGGATGATCCTCCTCGGCTGGGATCTACATACCGGCGCCGTCCTCGGTAGGCCCACAAGCGTAGATTATCGTCTAATGAGTCGGAGTCTCCCAGTCGACTCGATCATCCCCAAGGACCGAAAAAGGTCGCCCATAGTACCGCGCGGCGAGGACGACCCTCCAACACCCTTAACGCGAGCGATGTGGTCCTGGGAGTGCCTGAAGTCTCTACGAGACATCCTTAATCTGGAGAAGGAGGGACCCTTTCCCAAGGACTTTTCCAAGGTCGAAAATATACATCGGGACCTGCTCAACCTCCGAGCCCGAATTCCGGCACCCTTTAGACTGGAAACCCCGGACACGCGGTTTGATAACCTCCCGGGGTGCTGGTGGCTGCCCTACACACGACCGATCTTGCCGCAGCTGGTGTCATTTAACATCATGGCGCTGCACCGTCCGTATGTTTTCACGCGCGCCATCAGCCGCCGTGAGGCGCTCCAGGCCAGTTTAGATATGCTGGAAGCGCAGAAGCTGTACTTCGCTATGCTGAAACCACATCAGCACAGGACCTTTACCCTATTCTTCGGCACATTTGACGCGACTATCATGATCGCATCCATCTACATCCTGTTCCCGAAGGAGCACCTAGAGTTGCTACCAAAGGTGAAACAACATTTCGAGTGGGCGATCGAGCGCTTCGAGATGATGGCCGTGCGGAATCGACTCGCTCAAGCCGCATTAGGTGTGCTGCACGCCATTAATATCCGTTTCAAGAAATCCGTCGGCTGCAATTACCAAGCCATGTCAGGCGCCAGCGAAGCATGCAGCACTTGTACGAGCGGTAGCGGCACGGCTGGGAGTTCTTCCGACATTCAGACGCCCAACTCAGTGTCCGAACACTCGTCTTCCTCCTCCCAGAGTCTCGGCCTGTTGAATGCCGGCACCTCATCGACGCTAGCTACGATACCCGAGAGGGGCGCGAGCGTTAGCTCAGGCGCGGGCCTAACGCCGGCTTCAGGGTCCGACAACAACGTATTTGCCAACGCAGACTGGTCGCTGCCGACCGATTTCGACTTCAGCACCATCATGCCCATATACCCGATGGGTGACGTAGCGTACAACGATCTAGTTGCTGTTCCGGGGGACGGGACCTCGATGACGTGGTCGCCCGAGACCTTTACCGGCACGGCCGCCGTCCCGATGGGCAATGGCCTCCCGGCTAACCACGCATTAACGGGTGCCGCGGGAGAGGAGCAGACGCTGTGGCAATTCGGCGGCGAATTCGGAAACGACACACTATGGAACATATTGAACCAGTTCCCCACTTACTAAGCGGGCAGGTAGGTGGATACTAGGCATCACCCGCATCCGACTAAGAGAGGGGTTGTATACATACACGCGGGTTACGGATAGCGAGCGAGACGGATGTAGGCGTTGGGCGCCGCCAAATCGTGGGGGGTGATCGTAAGTAAACCCGCCCGGGGAGCGTCGGGAGCCGATAGCACCAAGGTGCGGGAACGGGAGGAATCCCCAGGGTTAACGGCGCCAGCAGGAAAGGGGGCGTCCCGTCCACAGGACGACAATATGCCGGATGTACTCATATGTGACGGCGTGCGTATAAGGGAGAACACCCGGGTAGCCTAGGGCGGTCGGCCTACCTAGCCTATCTCCACCTAGGGTAGTGAGTGGTTTCTTGGACCATAGCACTACCGCGTGCTGCGTACCTCTAGTAGGTACATATTTGGTGTAGAATCAGCTCGAGCTCAACCCCGGAGGTAGGCGCCCGAGTTACTCCCGTCGACTTGTCCCTTATTGCTACATCTATGTGCGTACGTGTATACACACACCCTGCATCCCAAGTAGCCTGCAGGCCACCTGGCCCGATGCCGTTTCATGCGTTCAACGCATACCTCGGGCCTACCTGCGGCTAGGTACGTGGATGAGCGGGTGCGTATACGTATGAGGGTGTTGGGCGCCTAGTTACGCACTGGGGTCGTCAGGAAGAAGTAATCGCACACCGTTGTCCGTTATATACTGTACAGAGCCTCTCTATGGGCAAATAGGAACGCCTCTCTCCACGGGTCAAGACCATTTCGAGAGACAGCGGGTGGTGTGGATGGGCAGATTCCCTACACCCTAGTCGGCGTGTCCGGGATAAAGTAATCTCGCATATAAGGGGAAGAGGAGATGTGCTAGTCACCGTGATTCAGCAATGTAGACACATGCTTTTTAGCCGGTAGACCTGGCGGGCACCCCCATCCCCGTCTAGCCATATGAGTGTAGGGCGGAGAGACGGATGCTGATCTCCCTAGAAGCGTCTACGGGAAGAATTACCGTAATAAAGTCTGCCTACTAAAAGTTCCCGGTATTGGCGGGGACACGTTTACCCGGAAATAGATGGTATTCTGCCCGTACAAAAGCCAGCAGCTTCTTTAGCTAGCTATTTCCCTCGGACGGATCGACATCTCAAATTGCCCCTAACGCCACAGTCCAGCCACGCCTCTTCCCAACGCTCCCCTCACCCCATCACCACTTTCGCTCACGGAGGGCAATAAAACGAATTAATAGCGGTACGCAGATCCAGGTTCTATTGGGGTTCCCCGGGCTGAGTGGGAAAGGAGTGCCGGTGTGTGCGCGCGCGGGGGGGGAGGGGGGAGGGGGGGGGTTGCCGGCTTTTCGTGTCTATCGTCGTGGGCGTTGTGATACTTCTATACATATATATACGTGACAATCTGCCGCACTCAGGCAGTTGAAGGGGGAGGAGGTAGAGGGCCGATTCGAAACCAATACCTCGCCCACAGTTCCTAGACCTGCGTTATCCTACCTCGCCGAGCCTGCCTTTAGAGTCGATATGCTATTCTCTACCCTCGTCTCGACAACCCTCCTAGCCGCGACGGCTTGGGGCGCGTTATTGACCCAGGTCCAAAATTACAACAATAATGCGACATCTAGGGCACAGATGTGAGACCAATCTCTCCTTCCTTTAGCAACCAGATCCCCGAGCCCCCCCCCCCCCCTAACACATAGGATAGGTACGTATATAGGCCCGACAACGTCGTAGAGAACGCACCTCTGGTCGTCGTGATCCACTCATGCCAGTCCTCGGCGCAATCCTATTTCCAGAATAGCGCGATCCCATGGAAGCAAGGGTCCGACAAAAAGGGCTATATCACTATCTGGCCGAGTTCGCCCAATAGCGGCACATGCTGGGACGTGTCATCGAAGCGGTCACTGACACACCTCGGCGGCGGTGACAGCCAGGCTATCGCTAATATGATACTGTATGCTCTGTCCGAGTATAATGCCGACTCGGAGCGCGTCTACGTTACCGGCGGCAGCTCCGGCGCCATGATGTCCAACGTGCTCGCCGCCACGTACCCCGAGCTTATCAAAGCCGTGTCGCTGTATAGTGGTGTAGCTGCCGGCTGCTTCGTCAGCTCCTCCGGCGGCGTCGCCCAGTGGAACAACTCTTGTAGCGGCGGCCAGTCGCGCGCCACTCCCCAGAAGTGGAAGCAGGTCGTCCTCGACATGTACCCGGGCTACGACGGCCCGCGCCCTAAGATGCAGATATGGCACGGCAGCGTGGACGGCACGCTCGCACCCCAGAATTACCAAGAGGAAATCAAGCAGTGGACAGCCGTCTTTAATATGACCCAGGAACCCACGAGTTCCGTCCAGAATTTCCCCAAGCAAGGATATACCACCAGTAACTATGGAGATTCGGTCCAAGGCATCTATGCTCAGGGCGTGGGCCACAGCGTACCGGCGAACCTGGCGGCAAGCGAGGAATGGTTTGGTCTGTAACACAATGATGGCCTATTGCCGGCTCAATGTGCGATCGGGTTAACGACTAGGTAGTAACCCGCGGTGATATCGGAACCGCCAACGTCAGAATGTATGTAGACCAGGATAAACGTTTTGTGTCATACATACCAAGAAATGTCGTTATCAAAGAGCCTCGAATCTAGCCCCGTCAACCCCCTGCGAATGACTATGGAGGCTGGGTTCATCTAATTTTTCTAGATGGTCTTCCACGCCTGTAAGATGTCATGACGAAAGCTGAGCCGGCCTGCTGCCTATACCACGGCTGTCCATTGGGAGACATAGCCGGCCAGCGGGAGGCCGATATTGAAGGCGGCGACTGCTTCTCTGCTTTTGTCAGCGACGAGCGCTTAATGGCAAGCATGTTTTATGACGGGCCAGATACTGGCTTTGCAACGTCGGGAGAGAATTCGGCAGACTGTCCAAGTGACGACATATCGAACCCGACGTCACCGCGCTCAATGCTCTCCACGGACGCCTTCCGCCTCCACTGGTTACGGTAGGCCCTGACTTCGGATCCCGAGTTGTTGACTAACTTGAGATCTGTATCTAGTCTAGGATCCCGATTCTTCTCGTAGAGATCTAGTTCGCCCGGAGACCAATTACGATTATTTATGATCGTCTGTGCGATTTCAACCTTGTCGGTCATCTTGAGAACCGATTGGGGCACGCGCAAAAGATGTGACCATTCGTCACCAATCTCTCTGCATACCTGGCTGATTTGGTCGTCTGAGATGTCTCGCATCCACCACACTTCCCTTATCAGTTTCGTAAAGCAGAGATAGTAAGCCAATATGACCAGGGCCCGAGGTCGATGTTCTTTTGCCAGCGGAATGAAACTCTTCGGTATAAATGCTATTAAAAAGATCAGCGTGTGCCCTTTCTGATCCCGGCTCATAGGCTTGAAACTCGGAGGCCTCCAAGGCAGGCAGAGGGCTAGTACCGCGATGGTCTGAAGAAGGATACCCAGTATTCAATGTTTAGTACGTACTAAAAAATGTGATAACGCGGAGGTCTAAGATGGGATTGAACCCATGCTCTCTCATCTCCTGATAGAGCGAGCCAAGGTACTTGAGCATGTCGTAATATGTTTGTTCGTGTCCGTAGTCCGCGTCTCCAGGCCGGATCGATGCGATCATGAACAGAAGGTTGTTGGGGATATAGCCGGTGGCCTTCTCCAGATCGACCGGCGGCCGGTAGAAGAGAACCGCCATCCCTGACTCCTGGAGGGCGGCCGGTGAGACGATCTCAAAAATCAAGCCGATTCCGCGCCAGACTTGCATCCAGTCAATAATGTACAGGGATTTCCCTTCCGGGTCCCGAAATGCTTGGCTGCTCACGACGACGATCAGGAGTGAGCATGCTATTAGAGCGGGGTAGTCGGCCGGATTCGCGGCCTCGATGGCATTCCGGTAGCCTTCGAACGCCCTGGCACAGTAATTGGCCGTGCGGTGAGCCTGAATAGGTTGATTCATGCTGCGAAGATGCAACGACGACACTGCCATCAAGCAGTCCATCAGGAACGGGGACCGGAAAGCATGCTCTACGACCTTTACTTGTAGCACATGGTCGACGGCGGCGGAGCGACCGGTCTGGATGGAGAAGTAGTGAAAGCCCCAGGTGGTGTAGAACCACAGCATTTTCATATCTAGAGCATCGACCAATTGACGAGGCCGAAAAAGAGGTTCTGCGACGACGGTACCAGCGTCGCTGCTAGGGGATAAGCCAGGAGAACGCCCCGGAGATGAAGAATTGGGGGTGGAGGGCGAAGACGGTGTTACGGCGGTGCCTGGATATACGCAGGTTTCCTTTCGAAGCCTGCATGCTCTACACGTCGGCCTCCCCTCGTCGCACTTGAGTAGCCGTGTTAGCTTTCATGGGATTATAATAATAGTAATAAGCCCTGTTTAACATTTGCGCCCGCTTACTTTCACTTTACGCCTCTTACACTGCGAACATCCAGCACGCGATTTCTTATGGGGCCGTTTGGCATGATAGGGCCTGTTGGTCGACTCGAAGTTATCGTCAGCATTGATGCCTAAGGACCCCCAACGCGGACGATCCATTTCGCCGATCTAGATAGTCCTTAGTCGTGTCGAGTTAACCGATGTTGGCTACCGAGGAGTCATGGTCAGTTTACTAGAGGGGATCGTATTTGAACGGAAACAGTGGGCTGTAAAGATTTAGGAGCGGTACGTGTTTTGTTATGTAGTCGGATCCGCGTGTATTACTAGGAGCGAGTAGGTTGGTGTGATAGGCATTGGAACGTAATAAAGAAACGAAGATGACGATTCCAACTGAGACAAGACGGCGCTGCTGCATCGACCTCCTGCCAGCTAGCTAAGCAGAGATAAGCTGGGTGCTAGAATTAGGTAATCACACAATCACAATGAGAAATTCACTTAAACGCTCTTAGCATCGTAACTATATAAAGCGCTGTCGCCTTTCCTTTTCAAACTCATACGTGCGTTTATAATTATTAATATTTATTTCATTTATTTCAATAAAATCTTAATACTTAATTAAATAATGAGTTTTTAAAAAAGTAAAATATTAAATATTAATTACTAATAATAAACTTATTATAATAATAATAATAGCTTTTTTATGTAACCTTTTTTTTAATATTTTTATTAAGTAACATAGATAAATCTTATAAGTTTAATGCTTTAATAATTCATCATATATCAATTCCCTGCTTAGATTCAGATTCAGAACTACGTATACTCTACTTATATTGCCTACCTCCATGTTAGATAATGTGCGTCTCCTTCTATTCCATATACCTAACTTTACGGTCTCGCTACCTCATGTTGGTAGAAACGACAACAGATACGACGCGTGTTGGCCAATTGGCACTGAGGGTATATAGTCCACTGACGGGCTGCCAATGGCATCGCTCTTCAAGCTACCGGATGAGCTCCTCGCAACTCTTGTCGAGACCTTCCCCTGTCGCGATGCCCAGATTCGAGCATTCGCAACGCTCCTCTATCCCTGCGCCGCGCCATGCCGGAACCTGATAGTATATGGTCCCGAGGCCACAGGCAAGAGTGCCATCACGGCACGCCTGCTTGGGTTGCTACGCGACAGGCACTCGCGTCGTACCGATAGTGATGACGATCGGAATGGTGGCCTTGTCAACCACGCCATCATCAAGTCTGCCGAGTGCGTGACAGCCCGACACCTGTTCGAACGGATTGTCGGCTCTGTAGGTGACGCGCTGCAATGGAGGGGGGGGGCCGTTGGCCGCTGCGAGACTCTTGCCGCGCTCACGGTTGAGCTGGCCAAGATGCTTAAGTATGTTAAGCGGGAAGAGGGCTGGAGGTTCGTGTTAGTCTTCGACGGAATCGACCGCCAGCGAGAGGCGCCACCCACGCTACTAGCCGCCCTTGCTCGATTGCCCGAAATTGTGCGTTTTTATGTGTCCGGTTCTCGTGGACCTCAGAGTGCTGATTGCTAATTTCATCGACGCCAGATGCCTAACTTAACTACCGTTTTTATCCTAACCACACCCTCACCGTCCCTCTTACGCGTATCCTCTGCGCCGCAGCTCTACTTCCCGCCCTACACAAAATCCGAATACGTTACAATCCTCTCTCACTCCTCGCGATGCCGGCCGCCGACGGCGCTCCCGAACACGACACCCCAGGAGACAGCGGACCTGTGGGCGCGCTTCGCGGCCGCCGTCCACGACGCGCTCGCTAAACCCGCGTCCAGCACGCTGCCCGGGCTGGAGCGTGCCTGCGCCGCGCTGTGGCCTCGGTTTACAGCACCCGTGGCTGCGGGCACACATCGCGCGCGAGAGTTCACCAAGCTCCTTGTCGCCGCACGGGCTTATTTCCAGGATGAGAGTATGCTTGAGCCCGGCATCGCTCTCGCCCCGCCCAACACGAAGTCTTCCACCTCGGGAGCCGCGGGTACGGCCATGGCCACCGACATCGCCAAAAAGAGGGGAGTAATGGCCAGTAACAGCACGACAGACCTGGCGGCCCTGCTACCCCGGACGGCGCGCCTCCTACTCATCGCTGCGTACCTCGCGTCGCACAACGCGCCGCGGCACGACCAAACGCTCTTCAGCACGTGGCACCATCAGGGGCGCCGTGGCCGTCGCGGCGGGGCCCACCACCACGCCTCGAAGAAGTCGAGGCACAGGAAGATCGCGCGTAAGCTGCTAGGCCCGAGTGCATTCGTCCTCGAGCGCATGGTTGCCATATACGCGGCAACGCGACGCGAGTGGATTCCTGGTCCCGGCGCCGATGTCGACATGACGGACGAGAGCCAGGCGGGGAGAGGTAGCGGCTCCAGCGCCGGAAGCGTGGACGGAGACGTCGGCATGGCGATCGCGACACTGACTAGCTTGCGATTGCTAGTTCGCGTCGGGGCGGGGAGCGTGGGAGCGGTAGGGATAGGGGGTGGAGACACTATGGACCGTGGCGGGAAGTGGAGGGTGGGCGTGGGGTGGGAGGTTGTCCGCAGCGTGGGGAGGAGTATAGGAGTTGAGGTTGAGGAGTGGCTTGTTGAGTAGATAGCATAGGAGAACTAATGGGGTAGGCGGAGGCGTGGAATAGAGAGTTCTAGGCTACTAGGGGTCGATATCTAAATGTGTATTACCCATGCACGTGTATATAGAGAGTGGCGTTTTGAAACGCGGCCTAGGAGTAGAGAAATGAAGAGAACATCCGACCATCGTGATATCACGAATACTTGGTATATAAGTGTACTCAGCATTCTTGCATATATAGCAGGGGCCAGCCCGATTGTTTTCTTCTTACCGTCCCTGAGACGTCTCTCAACCCAACAACGCTCGGAGGCCATTGATCCCTCTCTTTCTTTTTTCTAACTTCTGCAATGACCTCGGGGGTGCAGCTGAAACATCAATTAATTCATCCCTACTCTAGAGCCAGTACCTGTTATGTCTCGTTAGACTCGAGCAACCCCACGGAGAGTAAACTGCACGTGAAGGGTGGGCAAAGACTTACCAGCGCAGTGCGGCTAGGAATGTACACGTGCGTCCAATTCTTGCGGCCGTTCCACGCCATTGGAGTGGTAAAGAACCGTACGTCTGGATCAACGCGTGCAAAGCCACCAACCTCTTTCGCGTCCGTGTCCAAAACAACTTTATACGTGCCCGCGACTTCGACGCCGATACGGTAGTCGGCGAAGCTCTTAGAGGGGTGGAAGTTAAATATGAACACCACACCGGCGCGCTCGAATACGATGGTTTTGTCATTCTCGTTCTTGAGGCTAATGTGAGCTTGGGCCGCGTGTAACCAGCCGTAGTGATCCTCGGCGGCATTCATACGCCGGTCGAATTCATTGAGATCCTTGTAACGGAGCAGGTTGTCCTCAGTAAGGTTGAGCTGGCGCCGCGCGTACCAGAACGAGTTCTGATTGCCCTCACGCGGAAAGTCGAGCCACTCAGGATGCCCGAACTCGTTGCCCTCGAAGTTAAGATAACCCTCGCCGCCCAGCCCGTGTGTGAGCAGGCGTATCATCTTGTGCAGTGCTATTCCCCGCGATATAACAGGTGTAAGCGGCGAGAGCACCGACATATTGGTGTAGAGTTCGGCATCGCAGAGATGCATGAGCAGGGTCTTATCGCCCACGAGACTGATTTCCGCCAACGTCAGCGTTGTATTGCCTAGTTATTCTCGATGCTCTACTTACGCTTGGTCGTGGCTCTCACAGTAGGCGATTGTCTTTTCGCCGTGGCGCCTGTTGGTGAGAGTCCAACAGATATTAGCCATGTCCCAATCCTCGTCCTTCTTCTCCTTGAGGATTTTAATCCACATATCTGGGATAGCCATCGCCAGTCGGTAGTCGAATCCGACGCCGCCAAGGGACAGCGGTAAGCAGAGCGCAGGCATTCCAGAGACATCTTCCGCAATGGTGATAGTCTCGGGGTAGAGGTCGTGAAGCATTTCGTTCGCGATCATTAGGTAGACTACGGCCTCCTCGTCAACCTCGGAGCCGAAATATTCATGATATCCACCGGAGAAACCACTAAGATTCGGCAGTTAGCGACGAGGTGTACGACCCATATCACGGGAAAGCTTACGTCCCAATACCGTGGTGGGTGTAGAGCATGCTGGTGACTCCGTCGAAGCGAAAGCCATCAAATTGGTACTCGTCCATCCAGAACCTCAAATTGCTGAGCAAAAATCGCATGACCTCGTGGTGTCCGTAGTTGAATAGTCGACTATCCCACAGGTCATGCCTTCCCCTCCCGCCTCCGTGAAAGTAGAGATGGTCGGTACCGTCGAATTCATTCAGTCCGTCGAGCACATTCTTGGAAGCGTGGCTATGGACGACATCTAAGAGAACCACCAAGCCCAGGCCATGGGCGGTATCGATAAGTTCCTTAAGATCCTCGGGCGTACCATATCGGCTGCTTGCAGCAAAGAAATTGTTCACTTGGTAGCCGAAGCTAGCGTAGTAGGCGTGTTCCATGATAGCCATGAGTTGGATGACGTTATATCCGAGGTCCTTTATCCGAGGCAACATGGTCCTGGTGAACTCCTTGAAAGTTGTGACCCGCAGCTCCGGCGAGGAAATACCTACGTGCGCCTCGTATACGCGGGCACTCAGGGGTTTCTTGGGTCGGGAATTCTTGAAGGTGTACCTCTCTGACTCGGGAGGGTTCCAGAAGCGTGCATCGTAGGCAGGCGACACAGAGAGATCCTGGGTGACATACGTGATCCAGGCGGGCAAGCGGTCAATTCGCTCGTTGTTCGGCGTCGTCATAGAAATCTACAATCAGATGCTTAGCAATTTGTAGGTTCTCGGCCTCGAAACGGCGGTTTACCTTGATCTTGGAATTGTGAGAGATGGCTGGCTGCCCGTCCTTGGCAGGCAGGACGATTTCCCAGACACCAAACTCTCCCCTCTTCATAGGGTGGGCGCCCCTATTCCACCCGTCTGGCAGCATTTTCGTTAGCGAGATGACCTGCAACACATTCCAGTAAGGCTGGCTCTTACTAAAGTCGCCGATCAAGAAAGCCTCGGTGACGCCCGGGGCCCATTCTCGATAGACAATATCATTATTCTTGTTGACGTTCAGGCCGAAAGTCTCGGCGCCCTAAATTTTCGGGGTCGAGTAAGCCATCTAGTTGATGGGACGTGAGCAGTGTGGCTCAGACTGTGAAGATCAACCAACCCTTGAAAACTTCTCGAGCCCTCCCTCGGTGTCTTGGATCGTCTTGATCCACTCCTGGGCTTTGGCATATCGGCGCCTTAGAACGCCTTCGAACGGCGACAGCCACGGGTCTAATTTAAGGACGCCTGCATGCTTACGGTCAGCCAGCCGCTATCTCTCAATGTTCGTGGGGGACAGGAGGAGGGTCGCACCAGTGCCGTCGTTGGGTACCGCCGGCGCGGAAACGGCGCCGAGACCGCTGGCGGAACTGCTGACTACGGCAGTCATGGTTGTTTCTCGCTGGATGGCGGGGCAGGCCGGCTACCTCTCGAAATCCAACCCAATTCAGGAGGGGAGGGGAAATGAAAAGTGTTAGTGGATCGACCCGAGGTACTAGAGATGGGAGGGTCTTGGATTATGATACAGAGCCGGCCGGCACAGCTGCTCTGAAGAGAAGGGTGGGTGGACAGGGAGAGAGAGGTAGGCAAGAGATAAGATGGGCAGGTTGGAGATGGCCCCAACTCTCCGATAAATAAGCTATGGTTGAGAGGAGCTAGCTCTTTTCTTCTGGTATGATGCTGGTATGGAGGGGTATAGGGGGAGGAGGGAAGGGAAAACGGAGGGAAATGATGAATGGGGGACGTCGGTACGGGCACTACTTAAAGCCCCATGCCTCCTATCGCACCCGTCTTTCATGTCTGCCTTATTTGCGTATTCGAGATGGCATGAGGATGGGCGCGCTGCCCAACTACCCGGGCAGATGAGGAGAAGAAGAGAAAATCTTGACAGCTTCGGGCGTTAGGCTAGGCGGGACCAATGGATGTGTATGACGTCGAGGGGCGACGAGAACACAGATAGATCCCCTCTCCCGGCCCGACCAAACTTAGGTATCTACGTACATTCTGCGGCAAGCCTAACTTGGCACCTCCCCCGCCTCGCAGCCGCCAGTCGTTTCGCCTCCTCGCAGCGTGGTTGATAGGTACCTAACCCCGAATCAAGGTAACATTTAACACGAGTAACTAAAGGAAACGAATGGAAGACTACGTTACGTATATAATATAGACTCTACGAATATCTTATAATATAATAAAGACTTACGAACGTACCGGTAACCTTCCAAAATATAATAATAACAGTATTATGAAAATACCTCGATATATTCGTCTTCGTATATTTAAACGATATTCTTATGTAATAGGCTATGCCTATTATAGAGCCTTGGCTAGTGCCAGGGCATAGTACGTAATTAGGCCTTTAGCACCTACGGAGGATAAGGCCAGCTGTTATAGGTACGGCCTATACGGCGTACCTTTTTCTCCCTTTTCTCCTCGTTTAGCTTTAGTTTATTAATATACGGCTTTTACCTAGCGAATAGCTCGTAAAACCGTAATAAAAGGCTAAACTAACCTTCTTTTATAAATCGTTTTACGGATTAGTATTGAAACGAATAGAGTCAGTAGTAGGAACGGCGAAGCAACCCCTAGAGAGGCGGTGCTAAGTTAATAGTCGGAAAGGCGGTATTAGTCTTTAAATATATACGCCGGTAGTACCTGCGAAAGAGGACCGACAAGAGAGGCAACGGTTCAGTAGCATATTAGCGAACGGGATTAGCAGTAGGAAAAAACGATACCAATACCTATAGCGAAGTTAATAGTCGGAAAAGCGGTATTAATTTTAGACATACGCGCCGGGTAGCACTTACGAGAGAGAACCGATAAGATAAGTAACGAACTAGAAGATTAATATCTTAATACGCAGGATTAATAGTAGGAAAGGCGATGCCAGCTTCTAAGAAAGAGGTAGCCAGCTAAGTCAGCAGTAGGAAAGGCGGTATTAGCTTTTAAATATACGCGCCGATAGTAACTACGAACGAGGACCGACAGAAGATAACTAAGAAACGACCGATAACCTGAGAAAATATAGATTTAGATGGTAATTTCGAGGTAAAGAACGACGAAATCGACGGCTAAAAAAGGTAGAAAAAGGTAGAAAAACTTTTTCCCAAAGAAAGATAGTAGAGCGCTAAAGCATAACGTTTAATAAAGTTAAGAGCGCCCGAAACGTAATATAAAAGAGGAACGGCGTTAAAATAATAAGAAATACGATAAGGTTTCAGCTAAAATAATAATACTTCGATAAAGGCGTTAAAAGCGTTAGTAATAAACGGGGGAACGCTCCTTAATACGCCTTTAGACAGAGCCCGAAGGACTCTGCTAACGAACAAATAGGCCTCTAGCCTTTAAACAAAAGGATAAATAATAGTTTTTAAACGGGTAGAAACTGCGTACTATTAATACATCCTCCGGCGGAGCCTCGCGGCTCCGCTAATAATACGGAAAGATAAACCCCTAGCCTTTAAATGAAAGAAAAGGCCCTAAGCCTTTTAATAGTAAACGAAAAGGCGCGCTTTAACGCGCTTTTAAGCGGAGCCTTAGTTTCGCTAACGGAAAATAAATGATTGTTTTTAAACGAATCGAACGGCGTACTCTAATACGTCTTCCGGTAGATCCGACGGGATCCGCTAACCAAAGATAAACAAAGGTTTTTAAACGGCGGTAAACGAACCGACAACCCCGTAGCTACGGTAACTAAGCTAGACTTAATAAACGCCCTATATACGACTTCGTACGTAAGGCTTTAAAGCTCTATAGTTTAATAAGAGAATCGGGACGGTAACCCCTAGAGAGTAATAATACCCTGAGGAACGAAGATAATAACCCAGGAAACGAATAACGTAACCCGGGAGACAAACGGTAGTCTTAAGAGAGTAGTAATACCATAGAAAGAGAAAGGAAGCCCTAGAAAGTAGTAATACCCCGGGGAACGACGATAATAACCCGGGAGGCGAATAACGTAACCCGGGAAACGGACGGAATACCCGGGAACGCGGAGAGCCCCCGGGTAAGTAGAGACGGCGGCCCTAAAGGAATAGTATACCGGGGAGCCAGATAATACCCGGAGCGCCGGCAATACCTTATGAGGAGGAGAATAAGGAGGAAGGAGTTCTCGGGGAAATAGCTACCGGAAAGGCGTACCCGGTAGGCGAAGAAACCCGGGAGACCTACGGAGGGAAAGGAAGAGATCCCAGGGTATAATACAACCCCCGGGAAGGAGAAAGGAAGCCCTAACCGGAGGGCATCAATACCCGGGGGACGAACGGAAGAGGAGGAGACCCAGGGGGGCACTAATACCTTAAGAGGCGGAGGTAGTAACCCGGGGAGCGAGTAGCGTACCCCGGGGGACGGAGGTAGTACCTAAGGATACGATACGTATCTTAAGGCGTAGAAGAAAATAGGTTAGGTTATTAAGGCTAAATACTAGAAGAAAGGGTAGTAAGGCGTACTTTTTTTTTTCTAGAAAGGGACCTTATATAATAAGCTATATTCATTATAAGGCCCTGGCTAGTACTAGGGTATAATACGTAATTAGGCTTATAATACTTACGGAAGATAAGGCTAGCTATTATAGGTACGGCTTATACGGCGTACCTTTTTCTTCTTTTTTTCTTCGTTTAGCTCTAATTCATTAATATACGGCTTTCACCTAGCGAATAACCTATAAAACCATAACACCTTATATATACAGAAACTTACGAAGAATATATTGAACAGGAGCAGCGTGTGCACGTTGTGATGGAGGCACGAACGGCTACCCAACTGCCAACAACTGGCCTAGTGCCGATCGAACCTAGATTATAGCTGTAAACAGCTGTAATCGGTTGATCGGCTAGCTAAAAACGGCAGGTGCGAGAAGGGATTAGAAAGGGAAGGCAACGAGGATGGCGAGAAAAGGTATGGTAAGAAACGAGTGAATAGAGCTGTAACTAGTAATGGCTATTAAATAGGAGTAGCGTAGGTACGCTGATGGAGGTACGAAATAAGGACTACCTAACTGCTAATAACTAGCCTAGTACCGATTAACCTAAGATTATAGCTATAAATAGCTATAATCGGTTAATTAACTAGCTGAAAACGGTAGCTAGGAAAGGAGAAACTAGAATGATAAGGCAAGGAGGATGGCTAGAAAGACATAGCAAAAGGAGTAAATAGCTATAAGGTCGTAATGCCTATAGGTCTAAGTTTCACTAATGAAAATATAAATACGCGACCTATATAAATATATATCGAAAAGGCTATGTAGTCTAGATCTATAGTATTACTATAGCCTTCCTAGTTTAATTAATCTATAAAGAGTAATTAAACTACTAATAATAATAAGTACGGTAGCTCTCGTTCCTATTTAACTTAATCCTAATCCCGATTAACTTTAATTAATTAAAAGCTAGCTAGTTTAATTAAAAGCTAATAGGATAAGTTAGGTAGGTTAACTAGGAACGATTGCAATAGTAATAAGTAAGTAGTAGGGTAGGTAACTATAACCGTACCTAACTATACCTAAACCTAAACCTAATTAATCCCGAACCTATTTAATCGCTACTAACTAGGAGCTAAGCTAGTTTAATTAACTATTAATAGGAAATAATAAGAAAGATTAGGAAAGATCCGATAATAACTAGGCTATTATAGTAGTACGGTAAGACATGCCCTCTTAATGTATCACGTGGCACGCTACGATAGACCTTATGCCTATATAGAGTAACTACAGCTCCCGTAAGTACGGGACATGCCATACTTATCATTTAATTCATTACCTTATTAGATTACTATCTTTATTATTTTTACCTTAATTAAAGATTCGTTTTTGCTATTAGATTCGTCGTTCTCCGATTAATATATCTATCCTAGTTATAGGCGCTTAAGTTACTTCGTCGTACCGCTATAACCGAATAAGCGACTTTTGCGTTTTACCCCTTTTCTCCCCTTACCTCTTATGCCTTCGGGCTAGCGACTACTACATCTCTACGACTAAGGGGCATAGCTAAGATACGATAACTACATTAGATTCCTTGCCTCTCGGTTAATATAGCGATATTAGTTTCATCCGTCTTAGACCATCGTACGTACTATAGTCTTCGATAGAGTATACCTTCGAGTGAACCTATCCGGGTCTCTAGCATCGCGTACGCTCTGCTCCTCCTCACTATTAAAGCTATAACTTATAAGCTAACCTAATTGACTTATTCTTAATTAACCCTAATTAATTAAGAGAGAGCTAGCTCTATTAGGGCTATTAAGAAATAATAAGAATTAATCAGAAAATAGGAACTATAACGGGTAGGTAAAATAAGCGTAGCTCCTGAAAGAAATGAAAAAAATAATTCTATGAAAAATCTAATATAACGTAATCCCGTCCTTCGTGTTTATAGCTATTGCCGATGCTTTTTAATTAATTCTTGATCTTATAAACTAATTAATATATCCTATTCATACCCGACTATAACTCGTTTCTAGTTATTATTCGTATAACAGTTTCTATATTCGTTTAGTAGTATCTACCGGGCTTCCCTTAACCCTCGATCTCTCCCTTATACGTGGTTCTAAGGGCTCTCTAGGCTCTTCCTACTAACTATATATCGGTAAGGGTAACAAGAGGGGTCTCTGGGTATTAACCTAACTATTTTATAACTATTCTCCTAGGCTATCTTATTTAATATCGTATCTATCTCGTATTGCAGTATCGTTTATATGGGTCTTTTACGTTAATCGGTAGGTTCTCCGATTAGGTTCGTAGGTATAAGGTCTATCAGTATCTTCGTATAGTAATTAAGGGCATCGTAATACCTATCAGTTAGAGAGGAGAAACCTCCTTAAGTACCGTAACTAGCTAGTAGGAATAAAATAAGGGTAATCAGAGCTATCGATAAGCCTCTTATAATTAAAATAAATTAATTAATAATGAACGAATGCCTTTAAGTACGTACGAGGTTGTGAAAAGGGCGGGTAGCAGTAACGGTATTAGATTAACTAAGAGCGAAAAACTGCTATCTAGGTACTGGTTAAAAAACGAAGGCGAAACTGGGTAAAAACGGGCATAGCTCCTTTAAAAGAGATAATTAAGAAACGAGGATAAGATAGATTTATTAATCAGCGAACGAGCTTTTAGGTAAGCTAATTAA